TTTGTTCCCAGCCATTCTTGGATTCACAGGTTTCAGCAGGCAACCGAAGTAAGTATTTTCATATGTCAAAGTGTCACTCCCACCACTGATGAAAACAGAGCTGTTTTTGAGAAAAGACAGTTCTGGATAACACAACATATTTCGTACTTCTTTCTCAACCCCCATCCATCCTAGCAGCTTGTTCACAAAGTCTAACTGAATATAGATAAAGGAAGAGAGAGAAAATAGATGATGATAAACAGACAGACAGACAGACAGACACAAAGAATATGACTCAGAACAGCCTGAGAATTTGATCTGAGTTCATGTAAGTGTGGAACCATAAAGTATACAGCAAATGCATGTTTTTATGCTATATGTAATGCTACTGAAATAGTATGTTTTAATTGTGTCTAATTATTCACTTTTAATAAAATATAATATAGTTTAGCCTTTCTGTCAATTAGATCCAGAGTTTCTTTGGTATTGTCTTCCATTATATAAACACACACCAATACACTTGCACAAATACAGTATGTATAGTATACACACATAACTTCTGTACCTCCTTTGCAATAAAGAAATAAGCTCCACAAAAACTGAGAAATTTCGCAGATGGCAAAAGCTTCAGAACCTTTCCTATACACACATAGTGTTTTCATCCATTTTTAGAAAGTAAGTTTGCATTGTTTTTTTAAATGGGAAGAAGATAGTATTCATTATCTTGCTCCCTTTATTCCCAGTGGGAAGGCAACAGGTTCCATCCTTAGGTTCCATCTTAAATTCTTGCTGATGAGAGAAAGGAATTCTCACAAAATTAGCAGTATTATAACACCGCAAAAAACACTATGTTCATGTAAATAAACTAGCATAGTATAAAAAAGGCCCCACTCTCAAAACCAATGTCATGTGATTGCATAGGTCTGGGGTTGACTCAGATAAAACTGGTACGATGCTTACAGAGATAGTGGTCATATATATGAGTGGATTGCTTAAATTTAGTTGAAATCAGTGGGATTTTAGGAGCCATCTTTGTGCAATCCTGGACAGAAACTTGCAATAATCTTAAAAGTATTAGACAATTACCATATTTTTGGGCATATAAGACGACTGGGCGTATAAGACGACCCCTGACTTTTGAGAAGATTTTCATGGTTTAGAAAGTCATCTTATACGCTGGAAAATACAGTATAGGTATGATGCCTTTTGTCTGCTATCATGTTAATTTGGCCATAAGTACTGCTATGCTTTTCTAGCATGCACATACCTGATTGTAATGAGAAATGACAGGATTAATGAACTCAGAATAATTTATTAAGAAAGCATGTTTTGGCTTGCCCCTTTTAATTTGTTCTAGTAACAGCTGCTGCTATGTGCAGAAAAAAACTGATTTTATTATAAATGCAGTGATTGCAAATATTGAAGCTTTAGGTTCTTATAAGCATTGGTTTATTCTTAAAACAAATATTATACTGTACTCAATTATGGTTGTTTCAGTATTCATATATTTTTTAACTTGATCCAACAAGGCAATAATACAAGTAAACTGAAGACAGGAATAATCTCCTTAAATAAGAATATAATCTGTCATGCTTTGAGACAAGGAAAGTGCAGAATGGAAGAGAGTTCTTTTTTTAAAAAAGAAATTTTATTGATTTTCTAGTTTAAATATTTAAAAAGCAATGTGGCGGCTGAGTTAATCGATAATTCAATAACATACAGGTATCTTTAATACAGATATCAAACTGTTACATTAAATATTTACTCTTTTCCTCTTAGTATTTACTGTCTCATATTTAAACTAATACAATTCTTATTATATTGATTAAATAAAAATAACTCTTACATTTATCAATAATTTGTAGTTTATACATATCCTAGTTATTTTAACATTCAATCTTTATAGACAATCAATGTCCTAATTAGTTTTTCCCAATTTTTAGTTTCCCATTAATATTTAACATTTATATTAATTTTAATTCTCATTGATAAGTTGAAACCCCAATTTTCTTCCGTCTTATTCTAGCTTTCTTTCTTTGCCAAGTCGTCTTCCATGTCCGTGCTTTTAAGTCATCAAATAAATCTCCCTGTGTTATTATGTATGTTGTTTGAAGTAGAAAAAGCCATCTGGTTGCCATTTTTTTGAAAGGACTAACAAATTGTCTATTTTTTCATCTCGACGTAGTTGTCCTGAACTGTTTATCTTCTCTTCAGTCTGTTCTTCTTCTTGATCCTCAGGATTCTTCTGGTTTATAACATCTGGTTCTTTCCTGTAACTTCTTATTTCATTAGTAGCTGTAAGAATAGTTTCATGAATTGCTTTCAGCATAAAGAGAATCTGTTCCTGATCTTCATCCATGTTCTCTTAGTGTGTTAAAAGTTTTACAATCAGAAAATGCAAAAAAAAAAAAATGTCACTGAGTATAGAACACAGTTGGGCTTCTCATAGCTGTACAAAAGTCTTATCTATAGTCTGGGCTACAAGCTAAGTCTCTTTTAAGCAATAACAAGTTGTAATATCAGGTTTAGCCACAAGATGTCACCCACACCATTTAGAGTTTTGTTTTAAGTCCAAAATTTTTATAATCGTTTCAATTTTACTTCTTTTTTCTAAGTAAAAACCCAGATCTTCAATAAGAATAAAAATCTTTTAATCCACAACTTTTAAAAAGATAAAAATCCAATTAGAATCAAGTTATTCTTGCAACATTTTAAACTCTCCTGGATAGTTAGTCGCCGCTATTTTTAGAGGGAGGGATAGAATATCCCTTCCCTCTCCACAGGGGGAAAAGTACTTTGAGCAGCTTATGCAGGTAGAAAAAATAGTTAGGATTTAAGAGAGGTAAACCTCACCCAGTCTCATCCATGCTGCTTTATAGTTGCCTGATGGTAAATTTGACTTCAGCTGTTTGAAGCCAAGTGACAAGCCATATTTCTATGGCCGGTCTTTCATCTGCCGGTTTGGAGGGCTACCCCGGTGTCAAGCCCTCTATCTAGGCTCGACATGAACAGGTGGGGGAGGACACGAACGGTGCGCAGGGTGGAGGACGCCGGCGGCAGCCAGCACCAGCAAGACCACCTGCTTCCAGCCAGCCGGACCCCTCGGCTGCTGAACAGCTGCTATGCGGCCGCATGGCAGCCGGTAGTCCCCGGAGGTGTTCCTCGGCCAATGAACAACTGACGGCTGAGTCGCCAGGTGGCTGGGGAGCTGCACCGACCTGCTGATGGGCCGCTAGACTTCTGCTATAGCAGACTCACCAAGCTGTTTGGAACGGGGCCAGAGGGGGTGATTTGTAGCTGGCTGGGGCGAAGGGAGTCGAGGATGAGGTCTGATGCCGGTTGGGCCACAGCCGCGAAAAGCCGAAGCAAAAAGGCTGTTGGGCGTTGCAGTCAGCCATTTGAGGCCATGCGTCTGGATGCTGGTTATATGGGTGGGGCTTAATTAGTGTGCGTGTATATATAGCGCTGGGAGGCGGTTGCTGCCAGCGCGGACTTTGAAAGCGGTGTATCTTTGAACTGCATGCCAAAGATTCCTCCAGTAAACCTATACCCACCTGTGAACTGATCGGCTGTGTCTGTCTTGCCAGGGGTGAGGTAGGATCTTTGAAACCCAGATCGAACGGAAGGGCTACCACCCTCCTGCGATCAAGCGGGGATCTTCTTGCTTGTCGCCCTTAAAGGGCAACGTTCGACCCTTTCCAGGGTCCCCCAGCGATGCGAAATCGGATGTGGAAGACAGCGCTCACCTTCCAAACATCTGTGTCGGCCACATCAGCAAACCGGAAGTCTGTTCCTAATATTATTCTTATTCTCCCCTCCAACTCCTACTGGAATTGCAACTCCCTCCTCCTCAGAGAAGCAGTTGTCCTCTTCCCAATCCAGAAGAGGGCTAGGTTTGTTTGCCGGGGTCACAAGGGGGGATGAAAGGAGAAAAGGAGACTTACTTACAGTGTCAGTTATCTGAAAAAAGTCTTTTAGCTTGGGTTGTTTGGGCATTGTCGCAGCTATGTTTAGCTGGTTTTCTTTGCTTAGTCGGTCAAAGTCCTCTTACATAGTTTATTTATTTATTAGTAAAATTTATATGCCGCCCAATCCCTAGGGACTCAGGACGGCGTACAAAATTAAAACAAGTATAGCAATTAAAAACGAATACATTCACACAGCATGTCCTGATTGAATCCCGCCCCCCCCCCCCGGGGACATCAACCCCAGGCCTGCCGGAACAGGAGAGTTTTAATAGCTTTCTTGAAGGCCGGCAAGGTGGGAGTAGTTCGAATCTTGGGGGAAAGTTGATTCCACCACATCGGAGCCACCACAGAAAAGGCCCTTCCCCGAGGGCCCGCCAGCCGACATTGTCTGGCCGACGGGACCTGAAGGAGGCCCAATCTGTGGGACCTCACCGGTCTCTGGGAACTATGCGGCAGTATGCGGTCCTGTAAGTAACCTGGTCCTAAGCCATGAAGGGCTTTAAAGGTGACAACTAACACCTTGAATTGCGTCCGGAGACCCACAGGAAGCCAGTGCAGCTCGCGGAGGATAGGTGACATCTTGGCAAATTTATGATGTATAGACTTCAAAAAAACAAAAGGAAAAATCTAAAGAATACCCTCTATTGTGTATTAATTACTTAGGGATCTGGTAAGAGCAAAACTGCTTTCCTTCCAACCTTAGTGTCTTCAGACTACAAGCTCACAGATTTTTCCAAGGACCTGTAATTCTGATATACACATGGCAAAAACATCTCCAATACAACCATTCCCAGCCTGGCAACCTTCAGAGACACTGGGGTTCACAACTCCCAAATTCACAGATAGGATACCATGGTATAAAGTTTTCTGAAACCTGAAGCCCTCCTACATCTGAATACTGCCCAGCTGGATATTTTCTAATGTATACAGTATAACTCAAAACTGTGATGCAAGTACACAAATATGTATATAATTAGATGTATGTAAATGCAACTTATTAGTAGCATGTACATGGAATTTCTATCTGGTTAGACTGCCCATGCAGAGAAGTACTTCCTTGAAAAAAAAAAAAAAACAAGAAGCATTGAATGACATGTAAAGGGCCCAGGCATGTAACCTACAAAATAAAATGTCTGTGGCTTTTTGTAAATTCCATTTCATCTTTTGAAGAGATATTTAATAATATACTGTTCTTTCCTCAATCTAATTCACTCTGTGCAATTTGCAAAAATACATGGGTCCAAAGTTAGCTGTGAGGTGGGGCAGGATAAGTTCTCCAAGTCTACAATTTGAATAGAAAGAAAATGTGTTCTGGAACAGTCTCCGAAAATGCCTCAAGTCTTCTACTGTCACATTGATGCTGTACTGGATGTTTAGTAACTCCACAGCTCTCTCAACCACATACTCATTTTGGAGCTCAGACAGAGAGCATGTGGAATATACCACCTCTCCTCCTGGCTTAGCAGCAAGGACTCCAGCTCTGAAGAAAAAAAAAATAGGAAAGAAATTATTGGGGGGGGGATTATCAACTGTATTGGCCCACTTATTCAACAGAGTAATGCATACACCATATGCCAGTGCAAGAATGCACATGGAATCCTTACCTAGGCCTAGACTATATTTTGGGCCCCAGATATAAACAGAATCAATTCTCCTTTTTCTGCCTTGTTAATATGTCATTAATTTACTGAGTTCCTAGAAATAATGCTTATAGGCACTCAGACACCTCCCATGGAATCCTGTCTGTCACACTTGCCTTTTTTGTTTTGTTACGAGGTACACCAGCATTCAGCAAATTTGGGAATGGGAAGCCCCTGCATACTTATGGCCAGTCCAACCTCATTTTCTCAAAATTCATATCTGGCCTCCAGCCAAAGAGAATGAAATCCTTGCCAGCAGTATTGCTTTCCCCCAGCCATCACATAGTGAAAAAGCAAAATTGAGTATGATGGAATTTTCAAAGAATCTAGTTCAAGAGTGGAAGACTCCTGGGTATAAGAATATTAATGTAGTTGAAATTGCAGATTCATAATGGGTAATATTTTAGTTGTTTGATCATTCCATCACTTCAAGCTCTTTGTCACCCAACGGATAATAAATCACCAGGATTGTTTATTGCCTTTGATTATTTTTTTTTAAAGCTTGGGGTCTTCTTCAATGACCTTGCCCTCACATTATACTCTCAAATATTTAACATAGCTTCATTATTAGTTCTTTTAATAGGTAGTCTGGTTTTATTTTATCTAGTATTGATTCTTCTTGCCAATTAAGATATTCCCAACAATCTTCTCCAGCATCACAATTCAAAAGCATAGATTTTCTTTGTTTTGCATTTATGACAGCCATCTTATGATTGGGAAGACTTGCCTGATAACATGTACCATGGATGCAGTAAAGTGTCCCTATAAATATGTATCTAGATTTGCCATAATTTTTCTCCTAAGTAGCAGACATCTTTTTTCTTATGGTTACAGAAACCATCTCTGTGCAGTTTTGACTCTAGAAATATAATGTGTATTACTACTTCTCTGCCTACTGGCAGTGGGTTGACACTAGAAGTTGACACAATTTTACAGTGTTGGGTTTGTTTGTTTGTTTGTTTGTTTGAAGAAAAAACACACCAAGCATCAGACTGGCTTTTCTACTCCCATCTTTCATCTTCAACATGCGATTTAGTCTTCCTCACTTCTAGCCATTAATGTAATATCACGAGCATATCTGGGGTTACTTATATTTATTCCAATAATTTTAATTCCAACTTCTGTTCTATTCTGAGAGCGATTCAATGATTTATGGAAGTAAATCCTTTGAACTTAAACGGTTTGATGTGTCTTGTAACTGGAACACCACAAATTAAATCTCTGTTCGTAGGCTCTTCTTCTGGAAATTGCAAGACCATCTTTGGAATTGCATGGTCCAGAGCAAGAGAGGAACAAAATGTTTTTGAGCTATCTGGAGCATTCAAGAATGTTTTTGACAACATGTCAAAATCACTCACATGAGCAGTTGCAGCTGGAGCATTGGCAACATCTGACGTTCTCCTTTTCTTCCGTATGTGAAGATATTGTTATCTTCTTCCAAGACTGACTTTCGATCATTTGTGCATGGCACGTCAACAAGTACCTAAATGGAACCAAACAAATATTCCCTCTGGTAAATGTCTACACAATTTCTGTACATTAAAGACAAGTTTAGGTTAAACACTTAATCTATTTCCATGTACAGTGAAAAGCCAAGGAAAGTTTTGAAGCTGCTTTTCCACCACAGTACAAACTAGAAATTTGTTATTTTTCTTCGTTTTAGAAATTAAAAAAAAAACAGGTTGTCGGGTTGTTTTGAAAAAAGTATGACAGGAATACTGACCATCTCTTGCAATTCTAGTTACAGCAATAACTACTTTTCGATCCAATGTATGTAAACAAATGCTCAAAGTCATTATGGTGCTAGGGCTGCTGTGCTAGACCAGGACTGGGAAACCAAGATTCACATTTCTGGTCTGCTGTGAAGTTTTCTGAATAAACATGGAACAACCATCCCTGGTCTGTGGACTGGTACTGGTCCACGGCCCACTAGGAAGTGGGCCATGCAAGCAGTGGACAGGTTTGTGGAGCTCCATTTGCCAAGCAGCAGGCACATACCGCAAACCATCCCACCCCCCGCTACTACAGCAGCCAATCTGCAGAGCCAGAAAGGTTGAGGACCCCTGCTCTAGATCAGAGGTCCCCAGCCTTTTGGGCACCAGGGACCAGTTCCGTGGAGAGAGGTTTTTCCACGGACTGGAGGGTGCATGGTTTTGTGTGCTGCCTGCATCCCATGGATGGGGCTTTGCTTATTTCATGTGGCCCGGCTGCTGGCATGTCGCAGTCCGGTGGTTGGGGACCCCTGCTCTAGATGACTAGATCAAGCAAGCAAGTTCTATTCTGACAAAGCACTGCTTGAGCTAAGTCAGTGTTATGCCCTGTAGGGTTTTAAAGATAATATACAGCATTTGAATTCAGTACAGAAGCTGATTGGTAACCGATACGGTAAACTTAAAATAGGTATTACTTTGGATTGGAGGGATTGGCTTCTGCTGCTTCATTTGAAGGTATTACAGTAGTTTCATTGGGAACTAAATCAAGGCATGAGTTACTGATTGCAGGGTACAAATAATCAAGGATAGATGATCAAGGCTTTTATTACAGCATTCTTAAATGGCTATTAACTGTTAATTTTAAGATTAAAAACTCCAAAAATTGCTGTATCAGTCTTGGCTATAAACTTACTACCACTCAAGGGAGAATTCTAGAGATAATCTAGTAAAGGGGCAAGGGCTATTCTGTACAAGAAATGAAAAAAAAAATCTAATGATATCCTGGTTTATTAAGAAATAAAGGTGTTTCAATTTCCAGTAGCAAGAGTTAGAATGATACTTACCTTATCATAAGTGCCTGTTTCTGTCTGGGACCAATTTCTTCCATCCAACGAGGTAACCCGCACTACATTTTGGATCTCTTTGGGGAGATAGCTGCGGAGGACGTTACGTAGCCGGACAGTGCGAGAACCAGAGAGATCATTGGCTGTCAGCACACCTATTTCAAGAAGAACAGACGCTTAAACCAAGGACAGCATATCTCAGATATAAATTTACATAAAAATGATGGCTATCTTGCTATGTAATGTGTGCAATCTCTCTCAAGTATCTATAGATCATTCTCTTTCACCCTTTTCCCACTTACTCACAAGTACATATAGCTATCTTGCCTATCAAACCAATGTCATCTATTCAGACAAAGTAATAGAGGAGGAAACTGAAGAACTGTCCGTTGACTTGTCACCAGATATACCCTCATAAAAAATAATCTATCTGAACGTTATGTCCCTTCGGTTGAGAGATTGGCTGAGGATGCAAATGTGAACGCCTTAGTGGAATCTAGATTGCCTCTGGATCTTGAGTCAATTCACACATCAGACTACATCCATTTACGATTTAAGTTACTATGACTGTAGCTGTGATTCAACATATGAATCTTTGAGTCAAGAATTACTTAGGTGAGATGCACATATATTCAAGAAATAAAGAAATCAATAAATGTACCACAAAGAAGAGCATTTTTGCATGACCAGAAGCCATAGCAAGCAGGGGAACTGGTGATTAAGTTGGTGAGTATCTTAGTCTTTTATGTCTTATTTTTTTATTATTTTAAGGAATTATTTTTATTTTATTCAATTTTTTTTTTAGGGTTCCAACTGCTTGCGCCTTGGAAAATTGCAGTAAAAGAGAAAGATACTTTTTACCAAGACAAAACAACTTACCTATTACATATTTTCTACACTGCATGATAGAAGTGTTTGCAGTGAGTTTTTCTGTACCAGCTGAAAGTAGTATGGATGAAATTTGGGAGTTTTCCCATGCAAAACACATTTTCTACACCTGAGCTATGTGGCCCTTCTCCAAAGAGAAAGCATATGAGCATCTTCTCCTCCAAAATCTTTCACTGGAATGACAGCCTACAAGTGGCAAAAAGAAACATAAGGCTGTAGCATTCCATGTATAAAAGTGAAAGTCAATTTTGTGCATTGTTATGGGGGAGGCTATCACTTTTCAATCAATATGCACATAACCTGTTGTAATATTCCCAACTCTATATTCTAAATGAGAAGTATATTTTCACAAGAATATAAGCCACACTGGCTGGGGAATTCTGGGAGCTGAAATCCACATTATCTTAAAATTGCCAAATTTGAAAGATGAGAATTTATTCTGTGTAAAACTCCAAAAGAACAGTTTCAGCAACTCTTCTGCCTATACTACAAATGAAATGTCTAAACTTGGGAAAGCAAGATTAGTAAATCGTATTACTTACGACAACACCCAGTCTGTAAAAGTGCCAGCATCTTCCCACCTGGGGCTGCACAAAGATCAAGGACCATGCTTCCAGGCTGTACATTGAGAGCCAAAACAGGTAAAATCGAGGCAGCATCCAGGAGATAGTAACCAAGAATTCCTACGATGTCTGGTCTGCAAGTCAAAGAAATATATTAGATGAAACATACAAGCATTGCAAATGGATGCACACACACACACACGAAACTGTATCTTGAAAAAGAGTTTTCTGCCACCTTTTTGTGTTTCATATTTAACTTTTTTTGTTTTTCATGTTTAACTTTTTTCTGCTTGATTTTATACAAAAACAAGTACAAGAATACTAGGCCATCCAAATATTAATAGATCAGCTTCCATCATATCTAATTGTCTATTCTGGTTGGGGCAGATAATTATTTATACCGCAAGTGTCTTGCCTTAGTTTTAGAGACTAAATATGCATCTCAACTGTAATATAATACTTTGGAAGTGTATTCGAAGTTTTGATTTTATAGACTACAATTATAATATGTGTTGTATTTTGAACCTTTTATCAACTGCCTTGGTCAGGCTTAGGAAAACTACACATACATGCTAAAATAAATATATGATCTATAATAGTGCATTTTTGATGTTGCAGCCAGGGGAAAATTTAAAACATTTAAAAAGCACAAGACCTTTTTCTTCTTTTGTCTTCTATTTTATTAAATTAAAAAAAACCTCTCTGAAGCAAACAGCAAGCTTAAGAAGAACAGAAAATGGCTATTTGAGGAAAATTTTATAAGCATTCTAAAAATCCAATAAATTCATACCTGGCTTGACGAAAACGACTGATGTCTCCTTTGGGGAAAGTATAACATTTGATGTTAGGACTGACAGAAGGAAAATATTGTGCCTGAGTCTTTGAAAGTTCTGTCTGGATTTGGGGAGATGAAGTTGGCACACTGTCATCTTCAATGGAGGAATCTAATTCCTCAATTACTTCCTGAGATTCTTGGATGAAATCTACTGCATTGAGGTTTTCCAGACTCTGAATGACCTGTTCTACATCAGAGAAATTGTTGACTAGGGCCCCATATTTTTGCATTGACAGGAGACTGATGCGAATTGAAGGCCAGAGGCTGCCAAACTGGTCTCCATAGTTCATGTCGAAGACCTGGAGAGCCACTCTGGTATTATTTGCCCGAGGAGCAGTGGCTGCCTATATAAGAATAAAAATAAATCATCCAATGGGGAACATTTTATAGTTGTCACTGATAATGAAGAAGCAGTATTTCCAAATTGGGATTGCCTGCTGAGTTCTCCCACATAGAATAGACATATTTCAACATGCAATGCCCCACGGTTGATAAATGTGAATGAACACTGTAATCATGAAGTTAGGCCCACACCACTATTTTCTACCTACTTTGAACTAAGAAAAACCCAGATTATCAACTCCATACCTTCCTTCTTTATAGGCAAGAAGATATTCTTTAAGTTTTCCTCCGCAAGAAAACCTGTACAGGTAATCATTGACTTACAACAGTTTGTTTAATGAATGTTCAAAGTTACAACGGCACTGAAAAAAGTGACTTATAACCATTTTTCATACTTATGAGCACTGCAACATCCACATGGTTATGTGATCAAAATTAAGACACTTGGCAACTGACTCATATTTATGATGATTGCAGTGTCCTGGGATCATGTGACCACCTTTTGCCACCTTCTGACAAGCAAAGTCAATGGGAAAACTAGATTCGCTTAACAAGTGAACACCTACAGTGATTCACTTAAGAACTGTGGCAAGAAAGGTCATAAAATGGGGCAAACTTCACTTAACAAATGTTTCGCTTAGCAACATAAATTTTGGGCTCAATTGAAATCGTAAGTTGAGAATTATCTGCATTCAAGAGTCAAATTAAATCAGCTGAGTTAAACTATATGTTAAATGAATATGCTTTAATTGCAACAACTGTTGAACTTATTTATCACATTATATTCCACATATCTAAATCAAAACAGGGAAATCCTCTTACCCCAAGATACACATCTCCTTTAATAAAGAACATCAATAAAAGAAGCCAAACTTAGATAAAAGACTATAATCTGGCTTTAAACACTACACATTTCAGTCTATTTAAATAAAATGATATAGACTAGTTTTGTAACACTTGATAACTCAATAATAAAATTCCTTGGGACTTACTTCCCAAAAAAATCATACATCCGACTGGGCTTCAGGAAATACATTTGTTTAGACAGAATAATCAGCATAATCCAATAGAATGCTACTCAATCATCATTCTATATTTCAATGTGTTTAAGACCATTCCTTCCATTTGGAAAAACGGGAGTTTTCCTTTAAATCACCAAGAGGACATGGTCCAATAACTTAAGAAAGAGAAAGTTTGAGGCTATAGCCTATAGTGGTTTTTCTACCCTGGCCACTTTTAAGATGTGAGGACTTCAACTCCCACCATTCCCCAGCTAGCTATGCAGGAGAATGCTGTGAATTGAAACCCACAGATCTTAAAAGTGGTCAACTTTGAGAAACACTTGTCTAATACGATCAGGGAAGGGTTAATTCTAATAAAGAGAGGAAAGAAAGGATGGGAAGCGTATAAGAGAAAACCGGGGAGGGACGAGCAATTAGGTCGAGATGGTTCGGTGGGGTTACGGAGGGCTTGCGATGGGGCTGCGCTCTAGCTAAGGGGCTGGCATGTTGATGAGGCGGGGGAGATAACGAACACGCGTGCACAAGTGGCGCCCTGCTTCCCTCCTCCTCACCCACCCATTTCTTCTTGTAATGACGATGCCGACAAGGCGCCGAGACAAACAACGAAGGCGAAGCTTTCCGCAGATACTGCAGGAGGAACCGCTTCCCCTTTGCCTGGTGTGCAACCGCCATGTTCGACTGCGGGAATCAACGGCCGGTGGATGGGCGGTCCGACAGCAACTCCTCCGCCTCCTCAGAGCCACACTGTTTTAGGCTCCCCCGGCTGATGTCGACGCGCAAAATCGTTCCGTCGCACGCAGGAACAACGTAACCGGAAGTCGAGCAGCTGCATTTGGAATTTCAAGCGTTTCCAGTGTTTTTATGTTATTGGCAGTGTCTCAGTGGGGTAGCCCAGGAAATTACACGCCCGCTTGGGGTAGCCCAGGAAATTACACGCCCGCTTTGTACGTAGCTTAGCAGTTACATTTTATTCGGCTCGGTGAATGGCTGCTTAGAGCACCTCGGCAAGGTAAAAGGCAAAACGCGCTTTTCCAGAACCCCTTTCCCAAATGTCAGACTCTTAGCAATTGTATATTAAAAAAGTTATTCAGTGAACAAATTAAGTTCAACAAGAAATGGAATATTGGCCATAAAACCATCTGTATTTAATTGAATGTTACCATGCCGACTAAGATTTCAGTGAACCGATTTAACGTATTTTCTGCCTCTTTCATCCATCTCTACTTTTGACCATTTACTGCTTTTGCAACCTGTTGCAATTTCTGCGCATTGACAAAGGCGGTGTTGTGGCAGAAACCAATGAAATAACAGGAGATATTGTTTTTTTTTTTTTTAACCCTTCCTAACGTTGTTTCCGGCAACTGCTGGGTCCACTTCCCCCACCTCTTGTCTCCGGATTTTGAACAGGAATTGACCGGCCTGCTTGTCTCCGGAACCTGACATCAAGGAGACTATATATGCAACTGGATTTTTTCCCCCTTATTAGGATTTCCTCCTAATTGAGCCCATCTGTGGAGATTGTATATTGCTTTATTTGGCAATATGCTTCCCCCACCCCAACAAACAGGAGTAGCAGATACTAAGAGGCTGCTCTATTTAGTAAATGCTTCCCTGCCTCTTTGGTCTTTGGGATAGATAGACTTTCAAAGACCAAAATGTTGTAAAAGCTTCCCTTCTCTGTTAATTGTAAGGCATCTTGTCCTCATCTTGGTTATTAGTTGCTTTTCTAGTAACAGTTTCCACTTATTTTCCTTATATTTTCTGGATTTTTAAAATCTTAAAAACTCAGGAAATTTATCTATCCACACATAGATATGCAGTTAAAATTCTGTCACTTAAAATCGGAAAATGCCATAATTTTTCTGAATGCTGTTTTAAAAGAAGACGTGTAGTTATCACAACTGTTTTATTTTTTACAGTAAATGTTTAATGTGGAAATGTACAGAAACTGTTAACACTGCAAATCGTCCACAGAATACAGAAGTACTATGATGCAATAATCAAACAAAAAAAAGGATCAATCTTTCATAGAAGCAGGTCACACGACTGCAAAGTTTTCATCAGATATGAAGAAGTTGACATGATTGAATAAAGATTTATTTCAGTTTGGAGAAGAGTTTGTGAGCTACCTGTAAACCAAAAAATTAACAAATGAAAACAAGAATTTAAGCAAAAAAATATATTGATCTACTTATTTGCACAATTTATTCTTACAGTTTACTTCAGAAGTTTACTTTATTTACAAACTGCTGATCCATAATTTTCTAAATAGTAAGGGGCAACGAAGTTTGAGAATTATAAGTTCATTTGATGCATATAATTATTTTACACAACCTTGCATAAAAGTCATGCTAAAATCAACTTACACAATGGTCTCTAGCTTCCAGGAAGTCGAAGAGCTCCTCTGTACACTCTTCCAGTGTTTGAGATCTGGACGATACCCGAGTATTACACTGCTCTAAACGTTCCAGAGCTTTTGCACATTGTTCTATCTTTGCACACTCTTCCCTGACAACTGTTAAAGGATCCTGGAAGAAAAAGTATCACATAATTAATACTCTACTAAAGACATTACGAAAAGAGAGAGTCAAACTTACTATTAAAGCTGGCATACAAAAGTCTGTAATTATCCAGACAGTGGATGATCATAAGAAACTTAAAAACTCTTGGGTTATAAATTGTAGCCATTTAGGAGAGTAGCACTTTTTCTCATAGTTTGTAACAACTAGGATATTTTGACTTTTTAAAAAAAGATAGAATTTTGCTCCTTTCCCTACCAGAGCTAGCCATGTTTGGCAACTATTTTTCTGCCCTGTACTCAAGATGTTGGTGGTATCTTGCTGAAACCCATATTAGCAGTTTAAAGTCAACCTTAATAGTTCCATTAAAGTAGTGCTTTTCCCCCCCTAAGCAGCCAATAAGTCAGGTTTATCATTGACTGTTTTGTCACTGGAATTGGGAGATGAATCCTAGGTAAAATCAGCTTATAGCTTATTGGGCACTTTAGTTGGTGCTGGCCCATCCCCTGGGACTATCTTTGAGGGCCATTCTATTCTGGTGCAATGGGAGAGTATGGGTCTTTTGAAACAAGCTCTCCCCATATATCTGTTAAGTCTCTGTGCTGTTCCCTGGTTTATAGAGCGAGATCAGCAGCTAGGGTGGAGGCTGCATGGTAAAGCAGAACAGAGCGGACCAGTTTCATGCCATCGTCTCTCTACTGCATCTGTCAGCTCTGTTTGGGCTGCTTTTGACCACAGGTTTAGTGTACTTCTGTTCTATGTACTGTCAGCTATGCTATCACAGCCACCTCTCCTAACCCTGACAGGTAATCTCAGGTTAAAAGATAGGTAAATAAGACAAATTCTGACAAATGGCTAAACCCACAAATCTAGCCGCCAGTCAAAAATATTGCCTATCATAGCTATGTTGTGACAGGTGGATGACATCCTGCTAACATCATTGTTGAGGTGGCTTCAGCATACACTTTTCTGGAGAGAAAATGAAGACACTACTCTTCAGCTACAAACCAGAGCAAAGGCAACTGATATTGGCAATAGGGACCAGAATAATCTGTATTAGGTCAGTGTTCTGCTAGTTTTCAAAAACAGAAGAACAGTTTAATTGAGCCAGGAGAAAGATTTTAAGCCTTGGGAGCAAAATCCATAGTTTGTCCATCTTTGCTCTTTCTATAGAAATCCTAACTGTCAAAAGAAATCATATATTAAAACAAGGTTGGGATGTTCTAAATATGATAATTCAGATTATTTTATTAAATAAAAATCAGGTAAAGATGGAATACTAAGATATTCACTACATAAACACTAAATAGACATGGCATTTATCAGAATTGATCTATTCAGATTCTATCGTATTATCTTTTTGTTCCTGAATTATAGGTTTTAGTAAAAAGAACATATGCTATTAAGCAAACCAGTACATCGGATAGAAACAGTTTTATTAAAGCAACACAGAAAAGCGGCCACAAGATTCTGCTAATATTCAAAATCAGACATTTCATTGCAGTACCACAAATTGTTATGCACTTGTTGTGATCAAGAAAAATCATTTGTTGAAATTTAATCAAGTTGTGAACCCAAATAATAATTCCCATCACTATATACATTTCTACCATTTGTTAATTTTCATCCAGATAGAATAAGTAACAAGATTCTTTTAAAAAATTGTTGATTGAAATGTTATGAATTACTTCTCTTGCTCAATTATCCATAAAGTTACATACCACAAGTTCTTCTTCCTCTTCTTCCTCCTGCACAGGGAAAAAAGAATCATAATAGATTCATCAATGTTCTCATATCTATATGATATGAAGTCCATTAAATTACAAAAAATCAAAGAGCAATTTTAGTTACAGGTAATATTTCAACATGCAATGCCCCACATGGTTGATAAATGTGAATGAACACTGTAATCATGAAGCTAGGCCCACACCACTATTTTCTACTTACTTTGAACTAAGAAAAACCCAGATTATCAACTTCACACCTTCCCTCTTTATAGGCAAGAAGATACTCTAGATGTTTTCTTCCACAAGAAAACCTGTACAGGTAATCACTGACTTACAACATTTGTTTAGCGAACATTCAAAGTTACAACGACAGTGAAAAAAGTGACTTATGACCAATTTTCACACATATGACCACTGCAATATCCCCATGGTTATGTGATCAAAATTAAGACACTGGAAATTTTGTTACAAATAGAACTCCAAAAACTTTAAGCATTGCTGAAAAGACTTCTTTGTCCCTATATCAAAAATATATGACAAAAACAGATATCAACAATTCACCGCTAAAAAAAAGTTTCAGAATTCTCCATCCAATGTTTTATAATTCTTTATACCAGTCCCCATGACTGAAAAATCCACATGGAATTATTAATATTTAAAGAAAAAATAATATTTTTTTAAAAAAAGTCAATCAGTATTGGACTGGAATAGTAAGAATACTATACTAGCCATGGAATATTATTGCATTTCAGTTCATTATAAATAAATATAACATTAGAACTCTTTGCAAAAAGAGGTATAATCATAAAAGTTATTTATACTAGTACCATATGTAGTGAAGGTTTTTTATTATTTTTATAAGATGACAAAAAAAAATAAGACAATGAACATATAAAGGCTTTATTCATGGATTATAAAGGAGATGTTATAAGCAAAACAAAAGCCCTGGATTATTCAAACAATATGCAGAGATGCATTATTCAAAGTATTTATATAATGGCCAATATTTTACACTTTAAAAGAATAAGGAAACACAGCTTTCTCAATTCTACGTATATAACTACAGGGGACTATTTTTCAACCAACACAAGCAAAATATTTTGATGGGAGTTGTAGTCTTCCAGTCTGCAAGGCAACCAGATGGTGAAATTTGCAGCAATTAATAATTCTATCGCTAACCACGGTCAGTTTTTCGACATTCACACAAAGGGTATTATAGAGTATATAAATTGGTTAGTGATTATTGTTTTCCCGCGGATCTGGTACTCCGGCTATATTATAGATAGTACAAGTGCATTCATGCACGTCTAAACTAAGGTCCGTTATATTCAAGTGTAACTTGCCAACACGTAAATGGATTCACGGCTCTAGTGTTAGCTATTGAGTGACCTTTCGATAAAATTAAAAGCCCAGATCAAGAAAACCAGCAGGCCCAAAAATGAAAATGCAGGGACGGAGGAGCGAAGAACACGCAATGTTAAGATTTGAGAATAACCACATTTCCCTCGTCTCACTGTAGTGCGGCTCACCTCAGGGTCGTCCCGGCGGCCCTCAATTGCCTTCTCGTCCTCCCTACCCATTTCAGCAAGTCTTCCTCAACCCCGATTTAGCTACCGCAGAAGGACGCGCGAGGGTCATCCGCATGTCAACGGAAATCCCGCCTATCCACAGCAGCCTTCCGAGGGGAGGTTTCATTCAGCCGACCTTCTTAAGATGGCTCCTCTGTTTCTCCCACCATTGCGCTCCCGTCGCAGCGTGTGAGCCAAGAGCACTAGTTCCACCAAATGGCACTGGAGGGCGCTCTACCTACTCAGCAATGGCAGCATCATACACGTCCGTATAACAATAAGTGACCTCCCAAGATGGCGTCATTCAAAGGATGTGTGGTTTCTGTATTTGTTTTTTAAACATAGTAGACCTGCCGCCCGAAGAATATGGAGATCAAATCTGGGGAAGAAGTCGGCAGTGAGAATCCCGTCCGCCTGTTTGAGCTAAGTGGGGCGGTAGTCAGCTCCATCATGGGACAAGTTGAAAAAGAAGTTTGGGGTAAGATGGAGGAGGGGCTCAGCCGTATTTTTCTCCTCGTTGTGACCCACAGCCAGACAGATCTCTGCTATATATTTTGAGATGGAAAAATCTCTTGCCCAGTTGAAGGGACCGGTAAAGGTGTTGAGATGCCTTTAAAACGTTTCTTTAGCATGCACAATAATAGGCAATATACAGAGATGCTCCAACCACAATCGGGAAGGAAAATCCTGTAGAAATTCATGCTTTAGAGATTTTTGTAAGTCTGCTATCCTTCAGATATAGTACCTATAAGGGAATAAATCCTGCTGGATAAGATGGAAAAGGATTCTAGAGTAAAGTAGCAGTATAAATGTCAGTTGTTATTTTACTTGTACATTCTCCCATAGCGTGGAAATCCATATCCATTTACAGAATTAGATAGAATTTGGTTAGACTGGAAAGCTAAAGTCATATTTAGACAGGAATTATACTATAGTGAGATACTTTCAGGTTCAGACCTCCTAGCATCATGAGATAAAATGCATTGGATAAATATTTCCCTTAAACCCTTTTTCTTGTTAAAAACAATATAAGAAGGAATAGAAACAATTTAAGGCTTATATAAAAGAGATATACTGTCGTCTAAAAAATACAGGGTAATAGAGAATAATGGAAGTAAAGGAAAATTATAACTTACTAGTATAATAGCTATATTCTAAGATTTACATTCACAAGGTAGAGGAAAAGATCCTGAAACTTTTTAAAATGAATATAGTTTGGTGGTTGTCTACAATGTGTGTGTGTGTGTGTGTGTGTGTGTGTGTGTGTGTGTGAAAACTGTCTGGAGTAGGAGTAAAGAACCTTCTATCAGTAGTTTCAGTCCTGGACTGTAAGCGTTATCTAAATATGCTTGTATCAATTCATTTAACCCACTTTTTTTGTCACTAAAATACGTTTTTATATTGGTTTTCCCCCACCAAAGAACTTCCAGGTCCTATACTCCAGGGTATCTTGCCTCTATTGAACATCTATTATCTGGAAAGAATTGAAGAGACTGCTGTGAAAAAAGGTCAGTTACAATTATTTCATATGGGGAGGAAGTAACAAGGAAGGCCAGATGGTAACTAATACGGTAAGTTTCTATCCTAGGAAATATAGTTTCCACTTTCATGCATGGCAGAACTATGTTATTAATTTGCAAACATTTATATTTATTTCTTTATTTCCCCAATATATCCAAAGTTGGATAAATATGTTTCTTGTTCTTAATAAGATTGCAATCTTTTTTACTTCTTATTGAAATCTATAATAGATTTCAGTAAGATCTATTCTCAAGGAGGTTATGTGCAGTTTATTCTCTATGTTACTGAGTTCAGATTTATATCAGCCAGATGCCAACTAGACCAGGATAAGATTTTCACTTTTTGTAAAAGTTGCATAAATGCAAAGTAATTTCATCAGAACCTTTGAGCACAAATCATACTTTAGGAAACAGAATGGTATAATGAGTAGTTGCTTTCTTATAATCCTATAATAGTCAAATACTTGGCTGCAGGAACTTCATTGGCTAGTCATTTAAATCTTATACTTATCCTGTCTAAATGTTTACTCTGAGCTCATTTTATATGTTACAAATGTATTTTACCACTATTTACGGTATATATGATTGCTGGAAACAGTTCTAGCTTGCTTTCACCAATCATTGCAGATGCTATTAGGTTTTTCTATGGGGATGAGTAATCTGGAATGTTTGGATATTTCAGAATTCAGTTCTGAGTATCTTTGGCTAGACAGTGTGGGTATGCCTTCAAAGTATTATTAACTCCTGGAATTGCCTGGACAAGTTCATGCAGTTTTCATGACAAGATTATCAGAAATGGTTGACACTGCTTTTTTCCTAGGGCTGAGGGAAAGCCAGCCAGCTTTGTGCCTAAGGCAGGGCTTGAACTCACAGCCTCATGATTTCTAGGCTCGTGCTGCTTTCAATGAGTTATTAAGCTAAAACATACGAAAGGCATCACATTGCCTATCCATCTTTTAACTGCGTTTTCTGTGGGATGGTAACAATAGGAGCTTAACACATCTGAATGGCAGCCAGTTAGACAAGTATGAGCTAACATGTGATACTACAACATTAAATATCAAAAGATACAATAAAATAAGATCAAAATGTGCAAATTTTCAGCTTAAATTTTGAAGCAATATTTCAACATACTTGTGTGACTTCCTGCTTTGAGGTAGATGCTTTGAACATCTATAGATTTTTAAAAGATATTCATGTGTGTGTATGCATAAATATTTTTACATTACAATTTTTAAGCATGTCTGGTCTATTAAGAAGTAAACCTGTTTGAGATCAATAGAATGTACTCTTAGATATGTATATATAGGTGCAATCTTCATTTGTTTCAAAACATATATCAATAGCTGTACAACTATTGTTGTAAAACTAATGAAAGTTATTAATTTAATATTTACCTTAAACATGCTATTTATTTCTGTAGGACTCTCAACTGAACCAATATGGTGCAAGCTATGGTTTGACATCATGAAAACAAGACCTTCTAGATTAGAGGTGGGTTAAAGATATAAACTGTAAAATTGGGATAATGCTCTTACCTTTATGGCTAACTTCATAGAATCTCTTGTACAGGGATCGTCCATAGCTGTTTTTGTTTAAATTTTGCACTTCAGTCCTTCAGTGTTTTTCAAATATTTGCCATGCTTTAACTTCCTCTTCTGTATATTGTCACAGAAATAATAATTTCCAAACATGCGTTTATTGCCCAATGGCTGTCCCAATTAACCAGACAATAGTAGAAAAACAAGAGTATTTTCTTTTGCAATTGTAAAACAATAAGCATTCAATCAAGTATGGTGCCTAACTAGCAAACAGGCTAAGGTGCAGGACAAAATTGCCAAAACTCTTATGCTAAAGAATATGCAAATATAACTGCATCATGGTTTCTATGGTGAAATCAGGCTATCTTCAGAAGTAACATTTTTACTATTGACTTTTAGGTTTCCAGGCTCCCCCTAACTGTCATGAATTCAATTTTTTTAAATCTAGAGATAGCCTAATCCCATCTCTAAATTCTCTAACAAGATATACTACTATCACCCAAACCTTTAGATTGGGTCCCCAACCCCTGATCCGTGGACTAGTACCGGCCCATGGTATGTCAGCAACTGGGCCACACAAACAAGCAAAGCCCCATCCGCAAGATGCAGGCAGCACACAAAGTCACACATCCTCTGGTCCCTGGAAAAACCTCTCTCCACGGAACCAGTCCCTGGTGCCCAAAAGACTGGGGACCTCTGCTTTAGATTCACTCCTGAGACCACTCAAGCAGCATATAAATGCTTCTGAGACCACTTCAGCAGCATATAAATTAACCAAATTTCTTCTTCAAAGATATAAACTTTGCAGTGGAATGCAGCTGATCTTTGAAAGTCAAATGCTAAGAAAGAAATAGTAAGAAAACAAGATCCTGTCCTAAACTATAATCGCCATAATTGCAACAAGGAATCAGTTATGTCTATGGCGGGCAAGAACATGAAATTTTAACACTAGTTACAGGTAAAAAAGGAACAAGAGCAAGTCAGTAGGTCTGAACTAAACTCTAAACAAAAAGAGTATATACTATATACTATCTTTGAAGGCAGTTTTTCCTCCATCTTTTCCAATCCACATTTGGATTTAATAGCCTTTTCCTTACACACCCTTGTAGACTCTTCTTCTGTCAAATATTCTGATAGAGGAGTCACAGTTCCAAATATGATAGCTGGATCTCTGCATCCATCTAAAGGTGACTTTCAAACTTCCTTCCACCAAGTCCTTACGCACAGTGTCTGTTTAACTGCTAACTGCTCTGGTCCCAAAATTCCACAGGGTTTCCTTCAGTTAGTTATCCTCTGGGGCAATAACACCATATCTACTTTATTTATTTATTGTTACATACATACATACATACGTAGTCTATCAGGCCTTCCATCTATTGTTCTTCAGAGTAATGATGCTATATCTACTTTATTTATTTGTTCATTTATACAATCTATAAGGCTGCCTGTCTCCTAAAGGTGATTCTGAATGGCATGAAAGGATTAAAAACAATCACCACCATTTAATAACAATCACAACTCTCAAGGTTAAAATCACAACCCAACAGGGCAGAGCCCGCCTAACCATATGGCTCAAAATTAAAGTTAGTCTTCAATACTGTAATAAGGAGGAAAGGCCCTCTTTTTTCTTCTCTGAGGTTCTTCAGGCCTAAGGTATCCCGTGCATCAGGGGGGAAATGAAAATTGAAAAACTAGGTCTCCTTGCTGTCACCCCCTCTTTTCTATAAACCTGTTTCTTTCTTCTGCACCAACTCTCTGAGGATTTTAAGGCAAATCCTTGGCCCACCCTAGACCTGGCTAAATACTGAAGAGGAAAGCAAATAAAAACATTGGGAATCTATAGCTCAGCCCAGCCTGAGGTGGGTGAGAAAAGGCAACTGATCAATTCCAGGATTTAAGCAGAATCAGGAGACCATAAATTCTAGGCCTGCTTCAGGCATGAAAGCCAGCTAGTGGTTCTGGGCCAGACTCTGTCTCTCAGCCCAACCCATCTCACAGGGTCGGTGTTGTGGAGAAAATAGGCAAGAGCAGTAAGCATGGCAGATAAATAAATAGAGATAGAGAAAGGAAGAGATAATAAAAAATCTAATAATAAATTTTAATCTTGCTGACTGAAGTCACCCCTCATCCAAGACTCAGCCAGCTTCCTCACAAAAAGCACCAAATTCTTCCCACCCCAAACTTGACAGAGCCTCCTTCTTTTCCTCTATTGGCTGTCATGGGTCAGGTGACTTGGCTTATAGCTCACTGTTCTCCACTACAAATGCCTTATGAAAAACAAACAGGCTGAAACCATCCTAATTTTCTTGTGCGCTCTATGAAGTTACAGTACATTGCTAGGCAAGATAATCTGAAATAATGTAAATAAAAAGTACTTTATGAACAGATATCAGTCAGTTTCCACCCCCCAAGTAAGGTTTTATTAACATTTACAAAATTATCTACAGCCTTGAGAACTTAAAATAGTCTGCAGCAATTTTAATCAATTTTTAAAAATAAAGATGAGCAGAACAATATTCAGTTAAATAATCAGGAATTCTGGGTTTTTCATAGCATTTTTGAAATAACCAAAGAAGAAACTAGACCCACCTCTCCTGGAAGGGCATTTTAAAAGAATGGGATCACCAACCTGGCTAGCCAACTTATCAGAATGTAGTAGTGGACTCATGAGCATGGCATCTGTTGCTGATTTAGCCAATTTATGTAATCCTAAGTAAACCTTTAAATTTTTAAATTTAAATTTTAAAGAGTAATCAGTTGTTCAGGTATGAACCCAGATCATACTTCTGATCCAAGTCTGAAGTACTTTTTCCAGAGTATATCTAAATATAATCTTGCATCTATTTCCATATGATTACAGAATATCAAGTGTTGGAGGAAGAAGTTCCTTGAAACTTTCTTCTCAAATGTGCTGCGTGGGATCTTGGATGTGTCGTCACATCAACGCTTGAGTGATCCTTGTTTTTTGCCCCTGCTATATACTTCAAGGCATATATCTGAGCTTACTATTTACAATATGCTTGATGGTGTCTCAGAGCTGATGGCTCAACACAATCGGTGTGTCCTTGAAAACTTGGCTATTTCACTTAGAACTCTGACTTTCCGTCACCTCCTTTCCACCAATCTGTCTACTAGACATCAATTGAGTTTATTCCTTCATCGTCTAATTCATCATGGGGCAGTAAACTACCTATCTATGTACTCATGGCCTGATCCTGACCAAGCACTTCTAGCTCTCATTTTGAAAATGAGTGCTGGGATTTGGAATCCTAGTAAGACATTAATGAATGCAGAATTTTGCCATCTGTGTAGAGACAAATTGACTGAACAGAGCCAAAAGCTGGATCAGGAATGTAGGCCTCCTTTGGGTTCAGACCAACTGTTTCCTACAGCAACATCTGGCCAATTTAGCAATAATCAGTTGAGGAATGTGAAAATCTTGCCCAGTATGTCTCAAGAATTTTCCCTGGGCTTTGAAGATGCTGGAGAGATATTCAGTACCAGCAATAAAAGCTTTAGTGAACCATCAGACTGCCAATTGGGTAACAGTTCCTACAAAAGTCATGGGCCACACAATGCTAGCTCAGAAGATTTTAGTGCTGAAGTAGCATCTGTTAGCTTTCCCCCAACAAATCCATCTCAAGGCAGCCTTGCTTTGGGAAAATCTCCGAAGAGGCGCAAAGCTGTAATAACAAAGAAGCACAGCATCCATCAGAAAACTAGCAATATCACTACTGAGATGGAAGACCTGTATGATTTTGTCTTCACAATTGCAAAGGAAGAGGAGGAGATGGCATTCTATCACAAAATAAGGAATGTTGACAGGGAAGAACATTTTGATAATGAATCCTCTTTCCCAGCAGAGGCTTCTAGTGTGACTGATAAGGTTTCCTTAGGGGGAACCAGAACTATTGGGATCACTTCAATGAAGATAATTAGCCATTTTCGAAGCGTATCCACATTGGAAATATTCTCTGTCCCACTGACCAAGAATACATGCCAGATGCTTGGTAACCTGTTGAGCTCTTGGGTAGCTTTAGAAAAGCTTATTCTTACTTTGAATGGTAAGTGATAAACCAAATGTTTGCCTGCAAATATTAGTCCTTTGTGTAGAATCTTTGCAGTCAGAAGTGGATAAGCACCAGCTGCTGGGACTCATTAGAAGTCTGTTGCTATCCATTCTATTCAGCCAGAATGACGTAATTTTTAACATTTGACATCTGGATGGCCACAGCTTCTTTACATGTGTTTTGCAGTATTCAGATATATTATGGAAAACATTTGCTTTTAGAAAAGGATGCACAGCTTGAGAAAATAGGAATACTCCTACTGAACAGGGCAAGAGCTTCTTAATCCAGTATTTTGTTTTTCATAAAAGCAAAATCAATGCCCCTGAGATACAGGTTGGTGAAGATACAGGTAGTCCTCAGCCTACAACCACAATTGAGCCCCAAAATGCTGTTGCTAAGCGAGACAGTTATTAAGCTAGACAGTTATTAAGTGAGCTTTGCCCCCATTTTATGACCTTTCTTGCTCCAGTTGTTAAGTGAATCACTGTGTTTGTTAATAACACAGTTGTTAAGTGAATCTGGTTTCCCCATTGATTTTGCTTGTCAGAAGGTCATAAAGGTGCTCACATGCAGTCATCATAAATAGGAACCATTTGCCAAGCATCCGAATTTTGATCATATGACCATGGAATGCTGCAATGGTCATAAGTATCAAAAATAATCAAGTCACTTTTTTCAGTGCCATTGTAACTTCAGTCATTAAACAAACGGCTGTAAGTCAAGGACTACCTGTATATCCTGTCCTGTCATTGTTCTCCAGCAATTGATATTTGGAATATATACTACCACCAACCCAGAGGTAATATTCTGTTAATACAGAAAGTTCCAGTAGGCGTCTTTCAAGTTACCAGCTTAAGAGACATTGCTAATTTGTACTTGAGATTTGAACTGGTAAAAAAACAGCAGTTAGATAATTTTAGGTAATTTGGGCAGACTATTCAGCTTTTGATCTGACCGTATACGTAAAAATGTTTATTTATTTTAAATAATAAAGCCCAAATTCAGTGTCCAAATACTCTTGCCAGATTCAGAGATTGCCTTGTATATTGAAGGCAAACCTAAAATGCCTACTGTGCATAAACAAAAATCTCTTAATGCAAACCTCAGGGGAAAAAAAGTTTTCCGTCTGCAATCTTATATATCCATACCATTTTAGAATATTTTATCCAAGACTCCTTTGTTAATCCATATCTAAATATCAGTTAAATTAATTTTGAATTGTAGAAATCCCATAAAAGCCACATGTATTATGACTTGGGAAATTCGGTTTGATGTAGTAGTTAAGGAACAGACACTAGAAACTAGGACAGGGATAGGAAATCTTGGCTCTTTTATGACTCGTGGACTTCAACCCAGAATTCCTGAGCCAGCATGGCTGGCTCAGGAATTCTGGGAGTTGAAGTCCACGAGTCATAAAAGAACCAAGGTTGCCTACCCCTGAACTAGGAGATCAGGAGTTCTAGTCCTATCTAAGGCACAAAGTCAGCTGATGGCTTTGGGTGAGTCATTTCTCAAGTAGGCAATGGCAAACCACTTCTGAAAATGTTGTCAAGAAACTGCAGAGTCTTATCCAGACTGCCACTAGGAGTCAAAATTGACTTAGAGGCACCAAAAAAAAAAAAAAAAAAAATGACTTGGAGAAATTAAAGCAAATTTGACAGATTTTAACACTAGGTAGTGTTGTATTGATTGATAAAACCTGCAACCTTATACTATATATACAAATGCAACTAGAATCTGATTACTGGAAAACCACCAATACTGTTTCTGATCTCTTAAGATATAATATATTCTAGAAGACTAGAGCAAGTTTATCAGCCTGTTCTGCAAATATTGTACACTTATTTGAAACCAAGTAGTAATTTTTGCATATTTTCAATTTCTCTTTTTTCCTTTTAAAATTGTTCTTCAGGCTTAGGCCTTGGTATCTTCAGCATCCTTTCTGGACTCCGAATTCTTTCTCAGTGCAATGATTACTGCCTCCGTGTGGTACGCATCAGTGATATGTTTGCTCATGTTCCATGTATGAATCTTGTCCATTCTCTTTTGAGTGCTGTACCATTGCTTCGGATGCTTTTGGTCAGCTTTGATCTCAAAACTGCAGCCGAGTGGAATAGACTGGAAGAAGACATGGGCTCATCATCCTTAGTAGAAAAAATTCCAGGTACAGCATCGACCTTCAGCTTCACCTAACCCACAGCAGGTTTTGTTTTACTTGTGAGAATAATTAAGTCATACTTACAAGCTGCTACATTTTAAAGAATGCCTCGATTCTTGTTGGCCATCTTGCTAAAAGTCTTTTCTTGATAAAATGGGTGGGGCCAAAGCTCATCAGTAGAGCATGTGCTTGGGTGCAGAAGATTTCAAATTCAGCCTCAAACTGAATATATACGTATTTGTATATGTTTGTATGTATATATATTCACCAAGATTGCTCCGAGTTCAGAAATGGTTGCAGAACGAAATAAAAATTAAAGCGATTTGATCATAAGTTAGCAACTATTTAATTCATTTTGACATGTAAGATTATTATGGAACAAAAATATTTTTATTATTCTGGTGAGAGATTGAAGTTTTTCACTTCTCCAGAAATGCTCTGAAGTTTCTTGTTATAGATAATGGCTGTATTTTTTTTTTGGGGGGGGGGTTATGAATTCAGTGTATATAGAAAGTTGGAATGAGCCGCCCTTGACCTTTACACTATTCAGGCCATATGATATTTGATACTTACCATAAGACTGGAAGTGAGCTGTTATGACTGCTTCTTTTTCTGACACAGATTCCGTAACTGATTTCTTTTTGATCAATTAAACTATGGTTTGCTATGAATTGACATGTTGTAGACGGAGAAATTCCTCCAAATCGGTATCACAGGCTGACCTCAGTTTACAATTTTTGTTCAAACCATATTTGCCAACTTCAGCCTGTGAGTAGTTCTCTTTTGCTATATTCACCTTTTTACCTAGAGACTTACCTGGAGCAGCTTGAGATCAGATTTCCCAGAGAACCTCTTCAAACAAGTCTCCTGGCACCTGTACTGAAAGCTTCAGGGTCTCTCAAGAGTTTTTCTCTAGACAGTGTTGCAATTTCTTATCCTCAAGAGGTTGGGCTACTCCTGCAAGCCCTCAAAGGTATGGTGGAAGTTATTTGCTTGCAGTAAGCTAAAAAGCAACACTTAACAGGAATATTAACATCTTAAAACACTTTGTCAGCAGTGTAAACCCATGGCCAGAATTAAGCTGTAAAAGATACTTGACAAAATGTTTGAAATCATCTGCTTGTTTCACATTACCAAAGAGGAAAGTTTTAATCAGTGAAAAGTTTCAAAACATGTGATAAGTTCTTATTTATCTTGGTAGAATATAACCCAAACCTGAAGAAACTAAATTTTCATGATGTCAACCTTTCTGAACATTCAAAAGAAGTCCTCCTTATTCTACAGAGCCCAATTCTTCAAGGTATAATTATGTTGTTTTTCCTATTCTAAGCCTATAGCCACTGTTGCATGTAATCACAAATAAAGGTTTGGTAGAGATTTATCAGTTTTGTATGGGAAAGCCTAAGTAATAAATTTGGCTAAAGTATTGAATTTGTTCATTTTAGAGATTCCCCCTCCCTTCCAACTATATGGGTGGAATAAAAAATGAACAGGAATTAATGAAGGCCTAATATCATGGTCACCATGATGTAAAAAAGATGTTGAGACCTTAGAAAGAGTACAGAGAAAAGCAACAAAGATGATTAGGGGACTGGAGGCTAAAACATATAAGGAACGGTTGCTGGAATTGGGTATGTCTAGTTTAATGAAGGACAAGGGGTGACATGATAACAGTATTCCAATATCTCAGGGTGCCACAAAGAAGAGGGAGTCAAGCTATTCTCCAAAATGCCTAAAGGCAAGACAAAAAGCAACAGATGGAAACTAATCAAGAAGAGAAGCAACCTAGAACTAAGAAGAAATTTCCTGACACTTAGAATGATTAATCAGTAGAACAACTTGCCTCCAGAAGTTGTGAATACTCCAATACTAGAAGTTTTTAAGAAGAAATTGGACAACCATTTGTCTGAAATGGTATAGGGCAGGGGTGTCAAACTGCCGGCCCACAGGCTGGATGTGCCATCCGAAAGCCGCACCCACCCCATTGCTGGCAATGGAAAAACTGTCCCAATATGTTGTGCGATGTCACATGACGTCGTGAGTTTGACATGTCTGGTATAGGGTTTCCTGCCTCAACAGGGAGCTGGACTAGAAGACCTCCAAGGTCCCTTACAACTCTGTTATTCTGTTCCATTCTGTATAGAGTTACCATTAAACACCCAAACCTATTGAGGGTTGCATTCACTTGGAGCAGTATTTCTCAACCTCTCCATCTTAGTGTTATATTCAATTCTCACAAATCTTGAAGTCCACATATTATAAAGTTGCTAGGGTTGAGAAACATTGTCTTAGAGGTTATTGGTATAATAAGAAGACCTGAAGGGAGGAGCAGGGGGTTGGACTAGATGACCTCCGAGATCCCTCCCAACATTATTATTTATTATTATTATTTACATCATCATCACTTCCCCCTGCTCTGTCTGCATGAATACAAACTGCGACTTCACCACAGCTGACATCATTATGGAAGGGGGAAAAAATGGCTGTGTGGCAAACCCAGCTGTCCTGTGCCATATGCCACTGACATACAAAGTTAAGTCAGAGGTCTACAGGTTGTTTTTGTTAGACAAGTACAGTCATCATCTACTATATCTTTCCAACTTTTGTCCGTTGTCCATTCAATTAGACTGACTTCCCCTAATGAATCAAAGGAAGAAGGAACACCTACATTAATTTTAGGTTTTGGTTTTCCCATAGAGATCAGTTTTTCATTTTGCCGACTGTTTGAAAACTGTACAGCTGAGCTTCTGACTGAAATGATTACTGCCATGAAGAAGAATTCATCGCTAACGACCCTCAAACTCCCTGGAAATAGACTTGGTATGTAGTGGGAAATGTAGCAAGTTTCTAGGAGTGCTTCACTTTGTGGAGAATGAGCTAAGACTCTAGCTCAGGGATGTCAAACTGCTGGCCCACAGGCCGGTTTCATCATACCGAAGCCGCACCCACCCCATTGCCGGCAATGCAAAAAGAGTCATGATATGTCGTGACACATCATGTGATGTGGCGGGTTTGACACCGGTACTTTAGCTGCTCTTGGCTCAGATTTAGCTTTGACTGTTGACATAATAAGTTCCTGCCTGTGGTCATCATCGACTGATGATTATGTGCATATGTCAGTCTCCTTGTTTGCCTTTTCAAGAATCTAGCCTATTGACCTAAGGTGCTTTCTTTCAAAAGGCAACTGGACTTTCTTGTTTTGCTAGGAGACATTTAGCTTCTCATCCAAGAAGCTTCTTCAGTTCTGACTGAAAGGTGGAGAATGGAAAGATTTATATTCCTTGCAGCCATTTGGTCGTTAGCACTCTTTCTGAGAGTCATTGAGGCCATTTGGACGTTTATCTGTGCCCTCAGGGTCACATCCTATAATCTGCAATTTTTTTCTGGAAATCTGTTCATACTTCTGCATCATTCGAAGGGTGTCCATCCCAAAGTGCATAGCTAAATGTCTATGGAGATTCTCAGTCATCCAAGGTCATAGTGGACGACTGAGAATCACCATAGACAAATCTAGGCTATTCTGTGTTTCCTACTACTGGCTAATTTTTTCAGTGTATGTAGATTCCAAAATGTTTTATTTATTGTATTGCTAATTTTACAATAACATTAAAGCAACTAAATTTAGAACGGGATGCACATATATAGAATTACAACTTTTGTGCTTGTAGCAAAATGAGGTAAGGACTGACTGTCAATTATTCTCTCTGCTTTAAAAAAAGGAATAAAATTCTCAGGTAATTATGTAAAAGCTATAAGCAAGTAGCTATGTGGGGAGAAGTTTTATCTTTGATGTGGTGGGTGTATGTTTTGCTGGAGATTTGGGATTCTTGTTTTTTTGTTTTTCTGGATATTAAGTGCTGATTTGTGACCCGCAACTATGTACTATTCAAAAGCTACAATAGGCAGTTCTTTCATGATGATTTTGTAGCCTAAAAGGTGTGATACACACAAAAAAGGGAAAATGGAATAGGGAATAAGTACAGTAAGTAAGGACTGTTATGTGTTAATTAGGATTGTACAAAGACCAACTAATCCAGTGTTTCTCAACCTTGTTTAATTAAGATGTGTGGACTTCCAAGTCCCAGAGTTCAAGTCCCAGAATTCCCCAGTTAGCATGGTTAACTGAGGAATGCATTGCTTCTGGAGCCCCAGGTGCTATGATGAATCAGGCCCATTTTTAAACCTCCTGGCCAATATCAGCTTAAAGGGACTTCTGTGACAGTTCATTAATTTAAAATATTGCTAAACCACCTGTCATGCCATGGGTCTTTAGGAAGTGCATTTCATTAAGATTATATGCAATTTAAAGTGCAATAATATACCAATAAAATTGATATATTAAAGTTTTATACATATAGGCCAAAAGTAGTTGAGAAGTTCCAGCATAAAATGTCAAATATTAAAGTAAATATAAATGTTTTCAGCATATATGTAAAGTAAATAATAATAGTAGTAAAGTTGGAAGGGACCTTGGAGGTCATCTAGTCCAACCCCCTGCTCGGGCAGGAAACCCTACACCATTTCAGACAAATGGCTTTCAATTTGGGCATATGCTAAAATTTAGCATTTGACATTTATTTCCTTAGGGGAAAACTTTGGTTACAAAATGCAATTTATAAATAATCTTCCTGTTTGTCACTAAATGAATGGCCAGATGATTACTATTATAGTGAGAAATAAAACTGGACCTGCTCTTTTTCTTTTTTAATACAATTGTTGAAGCTACTTAATTCCTATAGCATCGTGAAGGACAATTGGTCCCTCGAAGTTCAATCAATTAGTAAAGGTTCCATTTTAATGATTTCTTAGTGAGATTTGTTCTTGGAAATTTATGTTAATTTACTCTGCACCTTTGGAGTGAAAAAAAAAAAATTTATAAATGGAAGGTAGATGGAAGGAGAATTCTTTCCAGACAGTCATTTTTGTGCCACTTTTCATATTCTTCCCCATTGGAGGATGTTTACTAAATCTCCAATAATGAATCTGTATTTTATAACATGGAATATACAAAATATTTCGTCAGAAAACATTCTAACCTAGAAACATCCCAGAAGACACTTGTCTGAAAGATTATTTTTTCAATGAAAAGACGTTTGTCATATACCTGTTATTTAGACTATCTCTGACATCTACCTTGCGCTTTGCTTTTAAATAGCATTTCCCCCTATTGTTAGGAAATCATAGATTGATTGCACTGGCTGACATCTTTGCTGGAGATTCATCCTCTTCTATCAGTCATCTGGACATAAGGTATGTATGTAAACAGAAGTAACCTTATGAAGAAAGATAGCAAGAAATTAGTGTGAGAAACAATGTTTTTTTCATTCATTCCCCCCCCCCTCAATAGCTGGTACCTTTTTGCATTCAATAGCTAGTGTCAGTTTGAAAGAAGAAATCACCATAATTTCAATCTGTGGAGATTATTAAAGTTATATCTTGGCACTCAACTGCTTCAAAACTTGTCAAATTTGGTATTCAACGCATTTTTGAAGCAGAAATCTTATCCTGGCGCTTGTCTTTCAGTAATCAACATGCAGGGAAGGACTTGCTGATGTCGACTGCCTCATGATTGTCTATTTCTTCCAGCTGAAATAGCAGGTCACGTGGTAAATCATGGTTTTCTCAGTACCTTCAGTTTTAGTATTTAGTACGCCTTTCAGAGTGGATTACCGATGAGGACCGAGGTCCATTGTATTCCCCGATTTCTTTTCCTCCCAGCTGTTGGTTTACTATTCTCAGAAAGTTCAGAATTATAAATCTAATTAATCTAGAAGATGGATTAGTGAAAGATACCTTACCTGTTGAGGTTTACTACAGAACTGAACATCTTTGTCAGAAGAGATGATAATTGGGAATATATAAAGTCTGATAAAGAATCCTTTAATAGGATGGTTACAGTTCACACACTATACATATGGAGAATAACTGAGCAAAGTGTAAGGTCATCTGAACTTCTCCTCCCTAAAAAAAAATAATACAGGAATGATTTGTTGCTGCATAATCTCATCCAATATCACTTTACCAGTTTTTTTTAAAAAATCCTGTTTTTTCCTGCAAGTTTTCTTTCTTAGGCTATCAATCACATCAAGTGGCTTGTAACTATAATAGCATTCTTCAACCTGGGTGTCTTCTATATATATGGACTTCAATTCCCAGAGTGTATTTCACAGTTAAAGTATAGAAACCAGAAAGTATATGTCACATAACCAAGTTAACTATTGCAATGTCAGGTCATTTTTGACTCCTAGCAACTTCCCCCTGCAGCTTTCTTGGCAAGATTTCAGAATTGGTTTGCCTGTTCCTCATTCCTAGGGCAGAGAGACTTGACTGCCTCAGGATTATCCAGTTGACTTTATGATAAAGGCGGGACTAGAACTCAGTGTCCTGGTCTCCAGGTGTCTTAATTACAGCCACCAAACTGGATCTATCTGCTTACAGATTATATATAGTCACCAATAACAGATGATTATGATCAATATTTTACAAACATTTGTTTTCATTTCTTTTGGAATTTAGTATTGAAAGAATCATAAAATTGATAATGAAAAAGCATTAAAAAAGAAAAGCATTATAGAAAAATTCATTGCCATTATTTCCTTCTCTGTATGTATTCTGACTTTAATTAAGCTTTAATATTAACTTAAAAAATTATTTTATTTTATAAAGTTAACAGTGATCGTGGGTCTTCGTGTGCAGGAAGTTCAGGAGCAGGTCAACCCCAAGTGCAGTTCTCAACTGCCTGCCTGTTGCCCCGAGCAAAAGGCCCAGTCTTTCTGCCTTGGCTTAGAGTTGCTTAACATCATTGCTGTGTGGACGGAGCAGGCACTTTTGTCAGTGCTGCTCAGCCTCTGCTGCATTGACACCAAGCAAACTTAATGCAGGCTGGCTCTTGAGTCATGAGCCCAGAATTTTATGTTAACTAAAATTTATTATTTATATGCATGCTACTTTTTTCATGATGTGCGCAGATTATTAACTTATAGGGAACATAAGTTTTGACATACCATAGGTATGAACGTACAGTACATGAAAGTTCAAGTTGGTCAGAAAATTCAAATCCTGCTTTGTTATACAACCATGGCAGGTAATCATTCATATTTTGATTCAGAAACAAAATCTGTTACATCGCTAACTACTGTATAACTACTATGACGAATATTTAATGTTCTAGGCCATAAATTGCAGTGAGGTACAGTAATACCTGTATTGTTAATTTCAATTCTAGCTCCAACTGTATTAAGCCTGATGGGCTTCTGGAATTCACCAAAAAGCTGGAAAGTTACACAGCTGAATGCAGAGAATGTATCAAACTGACCAAACTGTGCCTCTATCAGAATTGGCTGGACCAGGATGCTGTCACTGCTCAAGAAGCCCTTTCAAGACTAAAAGCTATATGCAATGTAGTTAGTGATGCATGGGACTCATCACAGGCCTTTGCGGACTACATCAGTGTAATGTAAGAAGTACATTAATGGGGAGTGTCTTCTAATAAATCTGCTTAACATTTTGACTGGGATTTAGACACTATTTAAGCACCAGTTCTAAATAGTACTTCTGGTATTGTTTTGTGTTCAGATTCCTCTGATCTCTGTTTAACATGAAGGATACAATAAATGTTAGCGGAAATGCCTCATTTCCAAAATAACTTTTAAAAGTCAGTAAAGTATGAGGTTAGCTATTATGCTAAATCAAAAGTTAACAACACAACAATGGAAAACTTAGCTTAAAGAAGCTTCTTGGATGAGAAGCGAAATATCTTCAATGAAAAACAAGAAAGTCCAGTTGCCTGTTGAAAAAGCACCTTTGAGACAACTATGACCTGGATGACTGAGAATCTCCATAGACATTCTTAGTTTAAAACTGAAACCTATTTTGTAGTCTGTAGATGAAAATATCTAGATCAGATTAAACTATTCTACCAAATACACCACAACAGTTTATGTCGTTCAGTTGCCTTCTGTATTTTAACAAGAGTCTATATGATACTTCTGCCTTCTGAAGTATGTTTACTATTTATGCAGGCCTTTTTGTTAAAATAAAAAGTATTACAGCGATAATCCTATTATTATTTAAATTAACTGCTCAGTATTGAGCAACCTGAATGTCCATTTTTAATCCATGTCCTAGAAAATAGCATTTCAAGCATCTCCTCATAAAGATTTTTAATTTTTCAATATAATCCCAGTAATTCAGAGGACAACATAAACACAATCCTTTAGGATTCTTTTCTTGATCATTAGTCTTCCTGTACAAAGATTTCACAAACATTTATCTTTCTCAATATATGAAAATAGTTAAATAAAGCAAATGCTTTTCTGTTTTTGTAAACATTTTAGTGTACCAGAAATTACTATTATATTAGAGCAAAAACAATTTTATAAACACATATACATCGTTTGTTACTTTCTTCTCACATACATACTGACATATGAAATAACTGATTGCTTCTTGTGATATATATACCCAATTGGAACAGTATCCTTTCCCCTTTTACTTATTGATTTGTTGTAAAAACAGAACCAATTTTTGATTTTATAATTGAAGATGATCCTGATCTAAAAATTGTTCCTGTAATAGGTTTAAAACTAGATAATGCAATATTAGTCACTCGAGCAAATAAATTTTAAAAATGATGTCACAATGATATGTGATAGTGATTCAATTTCAAGCTTTTTCTCTAAAAATGGTATTTGTTCACAGTTTGGGATTAAATAGTCCATCTGACTTACATAGACCTCATGATACCAAGGCATTCTAGAGGTGAAAGATTAGTCCAACTTTAGTATCACTGCTAGTAGAATATTCTGTACACATTTAGCAGATTGACAGTAAAAGCTCAGACATACTTTTTCAGAAAAAGAATATTTATGATGGTTGCTTGTAACCAAATATTTTAGCAAAGTATTTGTGAAGATAGTCTGTAATACTTTATACAGATTGAGATGAAAAAACATCCAATCCTAATGTTGCTAACACAGAGGTATCGAAAAAATTCATTTTTTTTTAAAGAAAGAGCTTAAATTCCAGAAGATTGAGCCAATGGTCATGGTATCCCTCGTTGTTCTTCATGTGACTGATGATAGAAAGTGAAAGTGACCGCACCCTCCCAGGCAGTCTTGAGGACAGTGTCCTTGAGGCCACGTTTCTCAGCACAGTGATGCCACTGAGATAAATCAGAAGTGCAGTCAGATCCCTCTGGAGGAGGTCTGACTTGATGGCCATTCACACAGCGACGACATTTGATCCTGTAATAAAAAGTGCATTTGTATTCACCACAGTTGCAATCCATGACTTCATGCTATTGCATTTCAGCTACAGGACTTGGTGTTTGGCAGATTTCCCATGCTAGGAACAATATAAATTAGGATTATTTGATTCAAATGCTTCTCATAGCAATGACTTTAGGTGCTGTGAACACAGAATGATCCTCTTTCAAAAGCCAACAATGGGAAAAAAATGTATCTCTGACACCCACAAAATCAATATTCTCAATTAGTGAAACTTCACTAATTACAAACCTTTACTATGTATATAAAATACTGTGTAAAACAGTAGACCGTCAAACACTGTTTTAAGATGGTTCAGAGTACATTGGTACATGAGTATTATCCCAACTGACCTATTCACCTATTAAAATTTCCCAGGCCTAGTCTATCAAAGCGGTACATTACAAAACCTAAGATTAAAAAATTCAAATACTGGGTTTTACAAATGTGGGTTTCTATATTTATGCTAATTGCAACACTGGCTGGCTGTGAAAAATCTCTTGTCACTAATGTTCAGATTCAATATCTATATACAACTTACCTTAATCTTTTTTTAAAAAAAACAACAATATTTCCATCTACGTCCCCAAATCTTTGCCTATACAATTAGCTATCAAACCCTTCTGGGACCTACTTGTCGTGGGTATCACTTGTAGTGGTCTCATTAAGTGTGAATAGCTCTTTCAGTTCCCCCAGAGAGAAGTGTCTTTCCACATCTTGTTCTTCATCTACTACACAGCTGCTAAGTGCCTTCTTGTGTGTCTGCCTCTGGAAGATCTTTTCTTCAATTGTCCCTGTCTACAAAATAAAAAATACATCTGGTGACAAATTGTTGTGAGACCTGTTTGACTCTTAAAATCACTACACATTCCTTAACGTGATTTTAACAAACTAGTTAGCTTCAGCAGAAGCTGTCGGTCAAAGTTGACATTAGCAATTCTCATCTTTCTTCTTTCCAAGCACTAATACAACAAAACCTTACTTAACTCATAAGAGACAGAACGTTCTGCAAATACTTTATTTAAATCTTGTCTTTGCCCAGAAATCAGATCTTTAGCATTTAAAGAAAAATAGTTTGTAAATACAATCCTGCTTGTTACCCAAAGGTAGGCGCTAGCATGGTGTTATTGTTTAGATGCATATTGTAGCCTACAAGTTTGGACTACATGTGCAAAGAATTCTAAAAGTTGTAATCCCAACCCTAATTTGGGAAAGGCTGCAGCAGCTGTTTTCAGATAAGGTCTTGGCAAAAGGCAAGATACTGTACATCTCTTACTATAAAAGATAAAATCAGACTCCTAGATGAAAAATAGAAAAAACGTCATGTTTCTAGTGAACTGAAAGATAAGCTATCACTCTATCTCAAGCTACTAATCTGAAGCACTAGCAATTTCTTTCTGAATAAGTAAAGGGTTCTATTTGGTAAGATTCAAGAATGCTTATATAATTCACCTATGGTATCTTCTTTTGGACACGTTATGTTACAACATAAGCAACTCTAGCACAATAGCATTTTAGATGCTATGGTGAATTGGGTGGTATATAAATTTGATTAATAATAAATAATAATAATACACCTGCTACAAACTTGTTTCTTCCCTGCAAAAGACTCAATGCTTCATTTTGTATGCTCTAAAATATTAATGGGAACAGTGAGTTACAGAGATCAATCTTACTGAAAGTAATCGGTAGATATAGCATATCTTCTTTTGGCCATCTCTCCACACTCGGGCCATGGCTTGTTCATCATTGGCTGGATTCCAATCAGGATCAAACATCACGAGTCTGTTTGCTCCAATTAGATTTAAGCCACACCCCCCAGCTTTGCTACTCAGCATGAAAATGAATTCAGGACTCTATGAAATCAGGAAAAAAATGCACCAAATTATCAAGCATAGGTGACAGCTAAATACATTATCTGTGGAAAAGCAAACCTCAAAATTAATTGCCTTAGTTTGATCTTGGAGCAAAATAAGGGAATACAGAAGTTTCACACCTAGGGCAATGGGCTGGATGAAATGTCACTTCTTCTCAATCTAAATCAGAGATACAAACTGCAATCATTTCTGCCCCTCATGGCTCATCTCCAAATGAGCAAGCTTTCACACTTGAGACTGTTTTGTGTCTTTGTAAATTTCAGTTTATTAAGGGACAAAATGATTACTTGTGGATTTATTTATTTATATATATACATAAGTGACATGTATGGCCACCAGACTCGTGAATTGTGGCTCTGGGCAACTAATATAAAATTAAAGGCAGAAAACACAGGAAACATTTGTCCAAAATAAAGGTGTGAAATAAATCTAGTAAATAAGTAAATAAATGCCTCCAAAGCACATTGCAATAAGCCAAACCACAACCGGGTCCACATTTTCAAAATTATTACCAAATGGCTAATCCCAATTTTGTAATCCAATCCAAATACTCAACAGAATTTAAAGGCTTATGGAAGGTATTCAGGGTCCTGCACCACCCATATTTCAGTGGGTATAATGGTCCAAAAGCCATGACAAAGAAGAAATGCCTCCTGGGCATTGTTTCACAGAAGGGATTTGAAACACACCCACTTGGTTGGATCTTGTGGGATGAACAAAAACAATTGGAGTCCCACAAATAATATAGCATTATGCCACTTTATAGGCATTAACTAGAAATTTGAATTGCACTTGGAAGCCTACTGGCAGGTCACAAAATAGTATTGTTCCATGGGTGTATGATGTTGCAAGAGTGTAAACATGAAATTGCCAAGACACAAGTCAGCAAGGTCTTCTGATTCAAGAACAGGTGCAACTGGCATACACACACAAACACACACACACACACACACAAATAAATCTGTGCAATTAATTATGGTTGCTTACCTGCTCTTTAAGCAGGAGCCAAAAACCAAGAGATTCCACAAACTACACATCAGGTAGTACAACTACATCCGTAAATAAAGGGGAAGGTCGCCAGATTTGGGACACCAACCCACAGTCAGCCTCCCTTGGGTTAAACCAAAGTCTGTTCTTTCCTATCTAGACTCCAGGCCCTGAAAATGAATCTTGATAGCATAATTTGGTTTGTCTGCTGATTGTTTTGTAAAGCCACCACATAGGAGGGAGGCCACTACAAAAACAACGATCTCATCTGATTCCTAGAGTCCAACCTTACCAACAGAATTTCTGTTACTACAATTATAACTAATAACTGAAGTACACACCCTTTTATGCAGGAGTTATGGCTTTTTGCAAAGCACATTGACACAAACTTCCTATTAACATAATACTACTTCGTAATCACATCCCTGTGTCAAACTGAAGAATAGCACTTTCAGTTAAAATTGACATTATATAAGGACAGGGGCTTTTGTACTAAAAATCTCCAGATCAGAAGCTTCACTTACAGAAAGATTGTTGAAACGTTCCACTATCTTTGCTCTCTTTTTAATGGACATGGTACCATCCAGACGGACATACAAATACCTGATACAAAAACAGGATATGAAGTTTAATATAAATATCTTATTTAAATAAAAAATGTCGTTATCCCCTGTATAAGGAAAAAGATTCTCTCACTCTGATAATTTTCATTTACCCATATATAAATTGAACTCAAGTCATCATACCTCCTATTTCTGCAGAGTTTCTCAAAAAGGTCGAGGGTCTGTGTGTAATTGGACACCAAGACTACTTTATCATTACTGGTGCTTCTAGTAACTGCCAGAATGTAGTCCAAAACCAGCATCTTTCCTGGAAGGAAACAAAATGAGTGCGCACATATTTTCGATAGGGCTGAGAAAGCACCTACTTGTGCAGACGGAGCACAGACTGTTCTTGCAGTGATATTTACCTGAGAGCTGAGGTTCTAGAGACTTAACACTGTAGCCAGATGGAAACAACTGCAAAGCTCCAGCAAACCCTTCTTCCTCTTCTACACACTTTTCATAAATCAAGGCAGGGTCTACAGAAGAATTCAAGAGTCACTGCATAGGATTGGTTGCTGCCAAGTACTCTGTTTAATCAGAGAGCGTTGTTTTAAGTGAGCCTTAAAACAATGGGGAACCTCCATGCAATACTATTCCTTGTCTTAACACAGCGTTTCTCAACCTTGACAATTTTAAGGCATGTGGACTTCAACTCCCAGAATTCCATAGCCAGCATTGCTGGCTGTGGAATTCTGGGAGTTGAAGTCCACATGCCTTAAAATTGTCAAGGTTGAGAAACACTGTAAACAGATACAGCCAGAGGTGCAACTCTGCATTGCTGGCTGCATTGCTGGCTGTGGAATTCTGGGAGTTGAAGTCCACATGCCTTAAAATTGTCAAGGTTGAGAAACACTGTAAACAGATACAGTCAGAGGTGCAACTCACAATGAATAGGTTAATATACAATACTAAATAAAAAACTCTTTGAGAAAGGTTGAGTAGTTTTTTTTACTTATCTAGATTCAATGCTGTGACCAATTCCACACTGGCTGTTGTTGTCCAAGGATTACCAGTTATAGATCTATAACAGCCTTCCTCTAATGACCTCTAATGCCATAACTCCAAACTATCCAGATCTCATTAAAAAAAGAAGAGGCATATTTGACTCAGATTTTAAATGCACAAGCAGATTATGCAACATACGAAGGCTGGTGAATGATGACATCAGACACAGATTACCCATAATGCTGATTAATTTCAAAATAGAAATTTAGACTCAATAAAATGGTAGCTGGAATATAGGTTACTAGAGCTGCAAAGCAGCACATTCCTTACTTTACAGTAGCTGTTTTTAACCCAGTAACACCATTTTCATTGCCTTCTACTATATATGTTTAATTTTGGACTAAAAAAAAATTATTTTAAGGATAAACAGATTTCAGTAATAAAGAAGATATATAGCTCAGGGTTGAACTATTGGGTTCTTGTTGTTTGCCGAATTTGTTTTCTTGCAGACGTTTCATTATCAGATTTGGTATCATCATCAGCGCAAGACAGAAGGATTTGCTAGCTGTTTATATATACTGTATATATACTAGCTTGCCTTATTAGTCTTGGTGGGAATTTGGCTTCGTCCTGGGTGATTATTTGATTATTATTTGATATTATTTGTCTGGAACTGTTTTCTGTGACTACTAGGAAAGATTCCTTTCTTGATTTTGGGTTGTATCTTTTAAGTGATATGTAGATGAGGTTTAACTATAGGTCTACTGTTGCTTGATCTGCCTCAATGCCAAACTTCCATAAATTTTTAGATTTGATTTATTCTAAAACATTAACTATTTCCCAATATATGGTTGGCATGCATATTTAATTTTTAATAAGAAAGTTGATCGGACTTTTAAATCACATATTTTGAGGAATGCCTTACTTCGTGTTTGGAAGAAGTATTATTATAGATTAAATTATAAAATACCTATCTGGGGGATTCCCAGACATGCAATTGAGGGAACTTCTAAGGGGACAAATTTTGACAAAATCTCGTATAAAGAATTGTTAATTTGCTCTGGTTCGAATTGGCATTTGAAATCCCTAGATGTATTAAGGCAGCAAAATATTCTACAGTCATGGTTTCAATATTTACAAATAATGGATAGATGGACTGTAGACAAGAAAGAGGGAATAACACTAGAAGATAGACAATTGGTTATTCAGATTAAAAACCAAAGTCCGGCTCATATAAAAAGAATATACAATGTTTTATTAGAGTTAGATTCGGAAACAGAATTGGTTAAAGACTGTATGATTAAATGGGCTCAGAATATACAGGAGCCGATCTCATTGGATTTATGGGAGACAATTTGGATAAGAAATGTTAAATTCACACAAGCTCAAAATTTGAGAGAAAATTTTTATAAAATGTTCTATAGATGGCACTTAGATCCTAAAAAAATTATCTTGTATGTATTCCAATATACAGCCCAAATGTTGGAGATGTGGCAATAATGATGCGACATACTTTCATATTTGGTGGAATTGTAAAAAAGTAAAGGCTTTTTGGATTATGATTTGGTGGAACATTCAAAAGATTTTTAGAAAAAAGATAAAGTTTACACCTCAACTATTTTTACTTGGTATTTTTGTTGACTTAAATGAAAAAGAAACTACTTTGATGTTGAATTTATTAACTGCAGCAAGGTTACTAGTAGGTTTATACTGGAAGAAAGATTCCTTGCCTACTTTAGAAGAATGGATATTTAAAGTATCTACTTTTGCAGAAATGGCAAAAATTTCTGCTTATTTAAAGGATCATACACAAGAAAGATATATTACTGTATGGGGAAGGTGGATAGATTATATTCAGAAAAAGTATGGAATTAAAAAGTTTCATTTATTTTATGAGTGAATATTAAATATTATAGAGAATTGTTTTATAGGTTATGGAGTTAAAGGTTAATTATGATATTTTTTTTTCTTCTCTTTTTTTCTTTTTTCTTAATTATTATAATTTTTTTTCTTATTATTAACCCTGTATTCTGCTCTGGGAAGTGAAGGGAGGGGGGTTGGGGGTGGGAGGGAGGGTAAGGGGGAGGGGTTTCTACTTTAAAATTTTATTGTATTTTTATAAATGATTGTATGTTTTAAAAAATAAAAAAAATTTAATAAAAAAAACAATTTCCCAGTTGAAATTGTGATTCAATTTATCTATTTGTCGAGAGATTAAAGGATTTTCATCAATGTCTTCTCACAGCCAGAAGATCTCCAAGGTCTCTTCCAGCTCTGTTGTTCTACTCTGTTCAAAATGATGTTTACATTTTGCCTGTCTGTCTTACATAGTAGCTGTTCCAGTCCATACACTAGTCTATATTTTAGACGAGTCCTGTTTTTTCTTCTTTGGTACCTGGATGTTTAAATTTGCTTAAGAAGTTCTGAAGGGATTTTGTTGGGCTGCAGGAAAACAAACAAACCTCAGGAAATATCAAGAACCCAATAAACCAGTTTCAAGAATATACTGTAATTTGCTTACATGGAAATTTAATGTCCAAATGTACATAAGAGCAAAATCAGAGACCCAGATGTTGTGGTTCCGGCTAATGAAACATTCCAAAGAACTTCCAGGCATTTATTTTTCTAAAAGTCTTTTATTGTTACAAAATGTCGGCACAGGCACAATGGAGGGATGCTAGGAACTAAGTTCTCTTCCTCTGAGCAGTTAAATTATCAGCATGTTCCCTCCCTAAATTAGCCCTCATATCTCACGTTATCCAATTAGTATGAAGGTCAAATGTTTTCTTCCTCTTTCTTTCCCAGGCTTTACCCCCAACCCCCCTTCTCCTCTGTATTAACCCCATAATTACAGACAATTCTACATATTGTCAAAAGCAAGAATATACAATATTTGCAGCATTGACACCAGAATTATGATCCTGGAAAATTTTAGAGATGGGAAATATAGCTTGGAACCATTTCGGTGCACAGCCACTGCTCTAAAGAATGTGCCCTAGCACTAAAGACACTATTAATACACATCTTCCTGCTCATTATTCAAGCACAAATTATTCAGATTCATATTCCGAAGCCTTCAAGGACAGATAGTTTTCTTGTTACTAACTTTGTCATATTCCAGGAATATGGGCACGAGATGGGAATAGGATGTTGCATAAATATGCATAGACTTAATTGTCAGAATTACTCACGATTACAGAGCTTCTTCAGAGATGTGATTGAAGAGAGAGAAGAAACATTCATCTTCCCCTCTTTCAGATCTTCTGCAGGTTTTGCTTGCATCAGAAAGTATTTGTATAACTCTGCTTGAAGGGGAGTCAGCCTGATGCGGAAGAGAGAGAGAGAGAGAGAGGGAGGGAGGGAGGGAGGGAGGGAGGGAGAGAGAGAGAGAGAGAGAGAGAGAGAGAGAGAGAGAGAGATTACTTATTTTATGACCACTGAACTTTAGATCATTCTAAAGGTAAGTCATGTCCTATCTACAATAATATGATTTAGCTTCAAGGGAAATATGATGCATGATTAATCCAGCTCTGAACCCATCAGCCTTTTTTTTTTGCTATCCAAATCTAAATACTAAAAGTATCTGCTAGTATTTGATACCCAAATAGTACTTGAAACTCAGTAGGGAAAGGAGAGGAACTTAGCTCTCAATTGATTTTGGTTGGAAATCAGGTAATTTCATAAGCCTTTTAAGAATCTTATTTGCTCAGTTTTAGAACCTTATGTCAACCCTGCTAACATCAGATGTTCTTGCTTTGACAACAGATGGAAATGTAGCCATCTTTTCTCTTTCGCTTTTAGAGTTAGAATTCAGGGGTTCTCAACCTTGGCAACTTTAAGACTTGTGGACTTCAACTCCCAGGATTCCTCAGCCAGCAAAGCTTAAAGTCTTAAAGTTGCCAAGGTTGAGAATCCCTGATTAGATGATGCTGGGAGGGGGGATGAGGATGAGAGTCCAGTTAGTCATAAAAACAATAACTCAGCCTGTAGGAATCAAGGTTATTGGGCCCAGAGCTGATAAAGATTTGGTGGGCTGGAAAGCTGGGGAAGAACCTCTTGCTTCAAGCTAAATGGGGAATGTGATTTATGACAGTTAATTGGAGGAGGGAATTGTGCTTTGATACTATGTGGGGGGTGGGCATTCAGTTTTTGGCTTTAACTATGTAGTGCCGATACTTTGTTTCTCGAATAAAAGATTCTTTAAGGTAAACAATGCCTCGAAGTTCTTTTAAAGAGTTCCATCTGTCAGAACCATGACACCTTAATGAAATTAATGAAATGAAATTAATTCTACTTTTAACAAATATTCTCAAAATTGCACTCATTTTGAATGTCTCATAAGGAGTCTCAAACAATGTCTTTTTTCTGGGCACATGGTACAGTTCTAAATAAAAAAAATGAGGTTGCAATCTTCCACCATTTTTATTTTCTATGAATATGGAATGTAATTCTATGTGTATGGAATGTATATAGGGCATCTATGGGGTTGAGAGCAACACTTTCAAACAAATGGTGGTGGTAAATGGTGCTTTGCGGCATGTCCGTTTCCTGCTTAACTGGCTTTCTGAATTAATCTTATGAAAAGGTCATGTGAGACAGAAAGCTTTGTGGGTACCAAGAGTGCTTATGCAAGCAACACACTGCGGCCCCAAGGAAAGTTGAATTTACACTTCAAGAAAACACAGTGAAGTCAGTGATACAACTTAGTTAAATGAAATGGCTCTGGTTTCAATAGAGCTGCTCTAAGCATGAACAAGTTCAGACCAAACCAACTACATTTTATTTGTCTCATTGTTCATAAAGTTACCACATCCCCACTCCATCATTCATGAACCATATACAAGTAAATGCAGAAAAATCTAAATCTCTAAACAGAAAGATCTCCCCACCACATTTATGTATACTGTCATTGTTTTTGAGCCTTACTTCACCAAATATTTGTATTTCAGAACTCAAGAAATGCAACAGGAGCTATACACAGGTTGCCAACTGGCTTCTGGATGCAATTCAAGGTGCTGGGTATTATCTATACAGCCGTTTATGGCATAGAGCCTAGTTACCTGAAAGACTGGCTATCTCTGGGTATCCCGTTTGATTCAATGGATTGGCTTACTTTGAATCCCCTTAGTTAAACAACACCTTTCTCTTATTTCATCTGCCCTTTGTAACAGCTTCTCCCCAAAGATCCATATGGCCTCCACCTTGTCCACCTCAAGCAATTTTTAAAAAGCTGCTTTTCTCCCCACGCCTCTGGTTAGGTTGCTTGGACAGATCTTCTTTTTGTTGGAGGTGATATTGGGAGATGGGCAATGTAAAATGTGATAGACAGACAGACAGACAGACAGACAGATCTAATGTATTGCCATTTAATTTTTAGAAACCTGTCATTTGGGGTTGGGTAGCCTAGACAATTGAAGATAAATAAATAACATATTTATTTGCTTAAATTGTGGAGAGGTTTTAATTGTTGAAATTGCCGTTTCATCCACATTACTACTCCCTTAAACCAGATTCCTTATGATAATATATACATAGGCATTTCTGTGTTATTGTAAATATATGTATATATGGCAACAGCCAGTAGGATGGAGATACTAGAGGCAAAGAACAACAACAGTAGCTGGGGTTGCTGTTGAGGAACACAGACACTTGATTCAAAGCTATGCAACACATTGACTGCTTAAAATAGACAGAAAAGGAATGTGGGGATTAAAGGCAAGATTTGTTGTGGTTTTTAATTTGTTAATGCTGATCATTTTGGGAAAAAGTGCCATTGTGCTTTGAAAACTAGAGAAATATTAATTATTGTCCTCTAAGCAAGCAGAGTGGATATGGAATGAATGTTTAATGTCTAAAGTAGTATAGTTTTTTAACTGATTTGTGGCCAATCTGCTTAATCACTGGGAAAGACATACTGCTTACCCATCTACCCTCTTGCAGAGTTTTTCCCAGTAGCTCAGTTTGCTTCATATGAAAGAAAATGTCCATTAATTTCAGCTCTGACAATTCTAAATATAATATTCACAATAGCTTCGATTATGCTAATTCTGTAGAAATTATTGAAAGATTAACCAGACCTTATCAACAACAAAAGTGACTGTTTTGCCATTGTAGCATTAAATGTAACATATAATGCCAACCATAACGTTTTTGATAACTGTACTATGGTTGTGCTATACATGCAGCTTAAATTCAAAAGCCTCAGTACACTAATGATTCCCTTTCCTTTTTCCATTAAGCAAGAAACTTGTTCCTTATTATACATCTTGCCCTTTAATTTTATACCTGCAGCACACCACCTGCTCAATTTTCACTGGCAGGTATTTGGAGAGAATATCCGAAGTTCTCCTTATTAGGCATCTAGAAAGGAAAGACAAAGATAACCTTAGTATTGTTAACACCGTGGCCTCCTGACTAGATTTCACCAATACAGTATTTCTTCCCAATGCTAATGTAGGAAGACCTTCATCCAGAATATTTAGCAATACATTCAGGGTTCCTTTTCTGGTAAATACATGGAATTTCCACAGAAGAATAAATGCTTTCCTTGACTGAATCTTGCTAACTAGCCACCATCAAATCAACTTCCTTGCTGATTTGACCAAATATTCAAAAGAGAATGTAAAGAAAGCAACACAATGAAAGCAGGACAGGTAGTCCTCGAATTATGGCCTGTCCTGTAAGAACCATTCAAAGTTACAGTGGCCTCGGAAAGAGCGCTTTAGAGCCAGTAAAGCACATTATAAAACATTGTGCTGACCCCATCATTTTGGGTGGTTAGCAACTGGCTCACATTTACAACTTGCCAAGCACCCAAGAATCAGCTCTACTGCAGCCCCACAAAGAATCCCCCACCCCCATACACAAAGAAGAAGGTAAATCCTTTGGCAGGCTGCAGGAATGGAGCTGAAATCTTTGAAATTTCAACTGTTTCCACAGCCTGCCAAAATATTTCCCCCCTAGGCATGGATGAGAGCTGAATTCCTTTTACAGGCTGTAGAAACATTTGAGAGTGACAGAATGCTATGTGGAGCTGAAATCTTCCCAACAGGCAGCCTTTTTGCTTTGTCTACTTAATAACCACAACCGGTAGTGCTGGGATTATGGTTGTTAAGCAAAGCAGCCACATGACAACTTGGTTCATGACTGCTTTGTTTAATGAACGAGATTCCGGTCCCATTTGTGGTCTTAAGTCAAGGACTACCTGTAGTGCCATATGATTACAGAAAAAAAATGTGGGACTATCAGTTCTGACTTGCAAAAATGGGATCTCTATGTGGCAGAAGAATGATACAGAAAGCTCTAATTCTGTGCTATCATCTACTGGTTGCCTGTATTTTTACAGCCCAGAACTGGTACTTATAGTTTTGAGATGAAACATACAGAAAAAGTATACACTGGTGATTTAAAGAAAGTGGTTGAATGAGCTGAAGACAATCTAGGGTAGCAATTATCTCATCTTTTTACAGAATGAGGATAAGAACTTAAGAAAGAAAGAAAAAAAGAAAGTATTCTTATAAAGACAAAAAGGTGCTCCACTTCACCTGTTAACAATACTGATCAGCTCTTTCAGTCTCTCCTCTCCTTTTTGCCTTCCAGCCTCACTTGCATCTGCATCCCTGCCTTTCAAAATGGGGATTTCAAAGTGCTTTTTAAATTCCTGGGCTGTTCCTGTACAAAAACAGAGACATTTTGGAATTAAGTATCTGCTGTCCTAAAAACATTCTTATTCCCACCCAGAAGAGCAGAGAGAACTTTCATTACCTAACGCTTCTGACATCAAAACCATTGTTGATACCTCTAATATACATTATAGAATATATTTCAAAGTGTGATGTACTTTACTGAATCTGTTATTCAGGGACAGGGAAGCAATAATAAGCAATCTCAACCTAGGGCAGCTAATTAACCCACAAGCCCTCAAATAAAACTCCTCCATTATCAACTTAGATAGAAACACTGTGTAGGTAATGCAGATAGAGCGTTGCTTTTACCTCTCTGTGCTTTTATAATTGAGAAAAGAACTACGATAACCAAAGCAGCCATTTTTATGCAGTATATGGCAAAACAAGATTACATGTTACATCCATACGAGCCCTGATGGTACAGTGGTTAAAGTTGTGGTATTGTAGGTAAACTCTGTCCACAGCCTGGAGTTCAATCTTGAAGGGCTGAATGTTGACTCAGCCTTCCAATCTTCTGAGGTCAGTAAAATGACGACCCAGATTGTTAGGGGGCAATGTGCAAATAATATTTATATTGTAAACCGCTTAGAGAGTGCTGTAAAGCACTAGGGGAAGATATATAAGCCTAAATGCTATTGCTATCCCCCTACACAAAGAAAGCAAGCGTTCCATGCAGAACTAACCAGAGAGTGATATCTCCATGCTTTATCCTTATCCATACAGCTTCTCCATGTGAGAGGAGGCTGGGGGGGGGGGATTTTTCCCCCTTCTTGTACAGAGAAAATATATGATGCAACAGAGGTTTCCACCCAATGAATGAGACTCTTCAAGCTCTTAGCTGTCTGCCATTCAACCCAAAAATATAAGTAAATTCCCATCCCCAATATACATACATAAATGATACATATATATAGGTTTGCGATCTGTCATTCTTTCTCCATGGCTAGCCAAAGCTATTTAATTTAAACTGGGATTGCCAAGTTAGGGTCTTTAATTTAGATGATTATATTATTAAAAAGTCCCCACCTAGAATGCCTGAGTTGACAAAATGTACTAGACTGAAATATTCAAGGAGATCATTTTGAATGGGAGTGCCAGAGATGAGAACCCGGCGTGGCGTATTCAAGCTGTTGAGAGCCTGGTATGTTTGGTTATCTGAGTTCTTCAGCCGGTGGCCCTGAAAAAAAAAAAGATTGAAGACAAAAAAAGATCATCATGCATGGACAGAAAAAAATAAGTATTTTTTAAAAGGCCAGTTAATGCAAGGAAATTATTCCAGCTCAATGATACAAAAAAAAAAAAAAAAAAGGAAATATATTAGATGCACAATAGATCAAAGGTCAAAGATCGTCCGTAATGTATGTGATTAAATTAAAATTGATTTATTGGTTATTGATTACACTGCTGCTAGAGTTAATCAAATCTATTGTGGTTCTCATTTAAAAGATGCTAAAAAGGCTTCTAGTTCAATGTACAGATACATACTCTTCTATCACCAATATTAAAATACATTAAATCCTCTTGGTGCTACCATTGCTCAGGTCACATATAGGAGAAAACATACACACTTCTTTTCTTCTGATCTCCAGTGAATATGCGAAACATACGTATGTTTGGCAGGCAAAAAGATCCCAGGTTCAAATCCATGGAGTAATAATAGTCACCGATCCTATCCACCTTAGCTACAGAATGGTCAGTTTAAGTCGACACCATTAGTTTAAATGAATCCATTAGTCCTGAATATATTTAATAGTCATGTTTCGTTTCTTTCAAAATTATAGAATTAGATTTATTCTATATTTAAGCAAGGAAGAAAGTCAGCAATGTGATAATTACCTCATTCCACCTTTCATTTTTAAAACCCAATATAAACAGTTAAAATTTCCTGGACTGGAACTGAGAAATCATGTTCTGAAGTCTACTTTAGAAGGAGAAAAAAATAACCTCTTATAGTACTATTGCCAACAGCATCGATCTTTTCTCCAAATAGGATTTAATTCTCAACACAATGGGCCACCTGCCTGAACCTATCTTTTCTTTCTGTTCCTCCAGCCAAGCCTATTGTATTCACCTGGTTAAGCAGAGCCCACTGTTTTGTCTTTCCGCTATCCTCCTGCTAATGAAAAATGGGTGGAAGCACAAATGAATTGAACAAGGCTGTGTTTTGGGAGACAAAAGTCAACAAAAGATACAGAAAGGCTATGGAAGACTGTACCAATCAAGGCTGCCAATGAGCCCAATTTCATTATAGTGGGAGAAAACACTGAAGGAGGCTTAGATGATCAGATCAGTCTTCCATTGGGATAACTATTCTGTAAAGCTTTGATTTGAAGATTTGATGATCAGTTTGGATTTTGCTTAGAAATACAAGCCCTTATGAATTGTGCCCATATCCATTATATCTATTCCTTTGTGTAATTTTCTCATAAGGCGGCAGGGGTGGGGGAATAGATCATTAAATTATTTTCAGGGTGACAGCCTTTTCCGCCCTTGTGTTTTATATTTTTACTACCTGCACATCAGTCTGGGGAATTATCTGCCACAGCTTGCCAATCCACTAGTCACCTTAGTTATTTAAGCTATACGCAGAATTAAGAAACAGCTAACTAGTAGAAACAGAAATTGGAATTAAAACTGGAAGAAACACCAACAAGCTCAAAGGTGCCGATGATATCACTTTGACAACCGGAAGTGGGAAAGAATTAACGAAACCTATGTTAAGGATGGAAAAGTTTTTTTAAAAAGTTCAATTAAAAAAAAAAACCCACAGCACCACACCCTATGCTTACATCAGCAGGGAGAATCCAATGTAAATAAGTGGAGAAGAAGTAGTAAATAAATGTTACCTTCCTATGCTTAAAAGTTCCCAAGGATGGTGATTGCAGTCAAGGAACAAAGGAACATCTGCTGCTTGGGAGAAAAGCTATGACAGATCTAGACAAAACAGTCAAGATTTTACCAGTGGTAACAAGTAGCTAAGAAAATTGGATTCTCAGAAAAACAAAATTGAAGTATGCCTTAGAATTAGGATTTTGGAAAAAAAAGTCTTAACAGTAACTTGCAAGTGCAAAACCCATTCCCTCGCTGCTGATATTTAAGTTTTTTAAAAAACACGGCTGTTCCAAAAAACTCATTACCTCATCACATATGACCAATCCAACACTCCCTTTCTTGAGAGCTTCTGCGTGGAGACGGAAAGTTTCATAGGAAATTATCAGGATGGGGGATGGGATTCTACGGCCTCGCTGGTTCACGAATCCAACTATTAGGAAAAAAATAAAAATGGCAAAGGAATAAAGATAAATAACCCGTTTAAGGGCAGAAATAATTTAATAAATACAAAGAGAAGTAATTGAAAGGAATCTTACATGCAGGGATTAGAATTTCTTTAAATGAGGCTTTTACACTTTCCATCCCTGCTCTCCTATAAATCTACTTTCTGGTATTCCCCCACTCTTGTATTGCTTTGGATCTGAAAACCACTCTGTAGAATTCAGTTATTCAAAGTAACTCAACAGACTATTGCTAAGTCAGGACAGAAACTCTTGCTTTTCCTTAATTGATCCTGTACTATTATCTCTCTGCCTCTTCCTACTTTGGTTTAGGATCAGATTTTGCCATTTTCAGAATAAACCCATGGATAGCAACATAATTAAGTGTCATTTATTTCAATGGGATTTTTAAAATCAATCTGAAGAGTGCATCAGCTAATATACTTTTTCTATAGTCTCTGCTGTTTCCTAATTCATAACTACAAAAGTTGCTAATTAAACCATTTAACTTAATCACAGCAGTCATCCTCAGCAGTGTGCTAAAAAAAAATCCTATCACTATATGGTTTAGTTTATAACTTATCAACAGTTCAGTTAAAGCACCCTCCTTGCTTTCCAACAGCTGCATATTGTGTAGCATTTATACCTAGCTTGTTGTCTATATCCTGTTTAGAGCCTCCATCAATAGCCAGTGGCTGGATTCTTCCTCCAAGCCATTTACCCACTTCATTGTACCAGTTTTTCACCAGACTGGAAGGCGCAACCACGATTGCCTTGTCAATTTCAGGCTTACAGTCTGGACTTTGGCGCAAAAGTGTCCAAATCAAAGTGATACATTGCAAGGTCTTTCCTAGACCCATCTCATCTGCCATGATGCAGCCATGACTTCCGGGGATCCGACGACTCGTAACACATTCCCACAGGAACTTCACTCCCTGTATGAAAGTGCTTGAGTTCAATTTAAATAGGTATGCAGAATATTAAACATTATATTGAGTTATCTAAATAAATTGGAGAGCCAAATATCTAATCATTTACAGGAGCAGTGAACAACTCCATACAGTACTCAGCCAGGAGATTATCATTAGTGGAATTCAAAATTACAGTATTCAAAAGATCTCAAACTTTCAAGAAGCAGCACCTGTGCAAACAGTGACCAATTATGCCTTTTATGTATGGACTACAACATCAGTGAATTATTTTACTTAATTCCAAGCAGACATGAATCAAGATGACAAACTAAAGAAAAACAATCAGTGAAATTGCTACCATAGTTACGCTTCATCTTGTAATAGTTTGTAGAAAAGCTGCCATGCCATTATTTTCTGCAGGAATGACTAGTTAAGGTAGTCCTAAAACTTAATGACCACAGTCGAGACTGGAACTTCCATTGCTGAGCAATGCAAATTGTTAAGTGAGTTGTATCCAATTGTATGACCTTTTTTTGCAATAGTCAATAAGTGATCTGGCTTCCTCCAGAAGCCCTGCAACCATCAGACATACTTTCCGGTGGCCAAGCACCCAAATTTTTATCACGTGACCATAAGGAACCTTGCAAGGGTTGTTAGTGTGAGGACTGACTGAAAGTTATTTTTTTCAACATCACTGTAACTTGGAACGGTTGCAAAGCAAATGGCTGTAAGTTGAGGACTACCTGCATACACTAGATCTAGCCACAAGTAGGCTTTTATTATCATTACAGTAATGATAATTTCCTGCAATCGAGCTCCTAGCACTTCCTTACAGCTGCCACCAGTCACAGATCAAATTTCATTTACTGCTTTAGTGTATGGGGGGGGGGGTGGGGAGGTGTGGAGAGAAAGTGTGGGAAATCTCCAAATTTGATTTTGGTCGACAGAGGAACTCAAAATGCTTTAGTCATAATGAAAAATGTTGCCTTCCCCCCTCCCCCCTCCCCCTCAGGCTTGAAGGCAGAAAGACATAGGAAACTATGGAATAATCCGTATCCATCTCAGCTCTTTCAAGTTTGATAGATATTATATCGATATCAATAACTGCGTAAGGTCAGTAATTATCTATTTATCCATAGATATTGTTTTTGAAAATATGCCTGATTTTAATCAAATCAAAACAAGACATAATAATATAAGCAGAGTACTGCTGATGTATGTCTTAAAATTGGGGAAATAATGATGTACATCTCTATTTATATTTGTATATCGGTATATATTATATCATAGTTAAATGAAGTTTGAAAAGTAAACAAAATGAAAAGATTTTGAAATATTTTTTTTTGATAGGTATTTATCATGCTTCTCAGATTAGGGCTTCCCCAGTACTAGCAAAGCAGCTGGAACCTATTTATGTAGCATGAGGCCAAGTATTCCTCAGGTATTTGCGGTTTTGCAGGAATTACAGTGTCTTTAATGGCTGATTATACTACGTACTGCTATAGTTACCTTCCTACTATACTCACCTCTCTCTGATGAGGTCGTAAAACACGGCTAAGACAAGGATCTACCACAACATGAACAGGCGTTTTATCCCTTCAAGAAGCAAACAGAGCACAGATCTAAGGAAATATAAACCTTAAAGAGATATTCTGGGAAATATCCTCAAGTAATGTGGGGATGACTTGTATAACACAGTTTATTGGCTCTCCAGAATTCACTGGAAGTAATCCAGTTCAAAGCTAATACAAAACTTAAAGAAGCTTAGCGTACATCCAGCAGCTATTTTAAACTATTTCATTACCAGAGTACATGTAATTCAGAAATCAAAGACTGAACATATTGCGCATTACAATTGGTAAATAATGATTACTAGCAAAGTATTTGATCAATTTCATCTGCACGTTTATAGCATATATTTGTGCTTCTCTGAATCCATCATCTAATCTTGAATTTGTTTTATTTATTTGTTAAATTTATTTAGTGCCTGTATCTCATCATGGAGCTAAACAGAGAAATGAAAAAAGGGTAAACATAATGATAATAAAGTAACGGAACAATAAACAATGAAAACGACAATACAATATGAGAATAAAAGATGGGGTGGAGGTGGAGTTTGCTATCAAGCTAGTAGCCACCTCCAGTGATACTCTCCCATTGGGTCCCCAGGCCAACCGAGTCAAATATCCGGGCTATGAAAGGATAGGAGGGTGGAGACAGATCTCACTTTGGAAAGTAGGCTATTATGGCAGAGGAGGGTCTTCTCCTGGATTCCTATATTCAGAGTTCTTTGACTGATGGGATCTGTAGTAGACCCTCTCTGCCAGCATGACTTCTCGTAGCGAGATGAGTTGGTTCATCAGGTAGTCTTGACTTATGCCGTTAAGGACTTTGAAGGTCATAACCAACACCTTCAACTGCACCCGGAAGCGGATTGGTAACCAATGCAGTTCGCAGAGCAGAGGTGTAATATGGGCCATTCTGTGGGCCCCCAAAACTGCTCTTGTTGCTGTACTTTGAACCATCTGAAGCTTCCGAATGGATTGCAGGGGTAGCCCCATGGAGGTCACATTGAAGTAGTCCAGATGAGAAATAACCAGGGCTTGAGTGCAGGGGAGTAAAAATTCAGGAAGGGTTGCAGCTGGTGTACAAACCAAAGGTGTATAAAGGCTCTCCTAGTCATGCCCACCACCTGCTTTTTGAGCAGGAGTAGTGAATCCAGGAGAACCTCTAAATTGTGAACTGGATCTGGTTGGGGTAGTGCAACCCTATCTTACAAGAAATGACTATTTATACTATGCTTACATATCAGTTCAGGGTTTAAATTTAAATCAAATCCTAAATAAAAACCAACTTAAAGTGACTGAAAAGTACTATCTCTGGAATAAGCTAAGTGTTGAAAACATACTTGTCTACTTTCAGTTGATCGTGAGCACTCAAAGGTTGGGGTTCATATAGAACCAGAGCCCCTTCTTCAAAAGGGTCGTGGAGAGCATGCCTAACTCCTGCACGTTTGATGCCCAATGCTCTCAATCCCAGGGGGCCTGAAAGATCATTCAAAGAAAGTAATTAATGTAACCATTTTATTTTCAATATATGGAATCAAAACTGAGATTTCAGCAACATATTGACTTAACTTTCAAAGAAATTGAGCTCTACATAAGAAATACATGATCATACCTGCTTTCTGGAATAAGGTCCTCTCTGAAATTTGAGTGACTGCCAACCTCATGGGTTTCTGGAATACCTAAAACAGCCAGTTGATTCTCCTGGCCTTAAATCCTTGTTGGATGTGTTTGGCATGTGTTTTACATATATTTTGGTATTGTGGGGTCAGATTGTCTATCTCAGACATGTCAAACTCGCAACGTCATGTGACGTCGCACGACGTATCAGAACTTTTTCCCCATTGCTGGCAATGGGGTGGGCGCGATTTCCTCATGACGCAGGCTGGCAGTTTGACATCCCTGGTCTATCTAGTCAAGTGAGGTCCATTGCATTTAATCTGCTTTTTATACCCACATAGTTTGTGTGGAATCAGATGAAGAAGACTAAATAAACAAATGAATTACACTTTATAAATAGGATACTGTATCAATTTCATTAAGCTATTAACATTTTCATGTGACCATGTAAATAGAGAGCAGCAGTCATGAAAACCTGGAAGTCCATTCTTCATCTCATGAATGTCTACCTACAGCAAGTTCAATTGAAAGAGAGACCTACCAAAGTCTCTTTGACTAGCATGAATAAATGTATATCACTGATGAAGATCCAAGGGGATGTAACTTTGAACGGTCAACTAAACGAATTGTTGTAAATCGAGGACTACTGGTAGCTTTCAGGTTTTTTTCTTTTGTACTATAAACACAACAAAATGCACTTTTTGCCTCAGAACAAGATTTATAAATGAATTACTACATATTTAATTACATAGTAATTAAATGGGAATATGACAACGTAGTTCAAGTAAAACTGCAATTTCTCCACATCATGATTTTTGTAGACTTAAACAAAACCATATTTAAAATGAAGAGTTGATGCTTAAAAAAAATAAAAAAAATTACCTGTATAATTTGGAATAGGAACCTTGAAAGGTTTTGATAAAATGCTGCGGATAAAGGCTTCCTAGGATTTAAAGTAATATTCATTAAAATATCATTTAGGCTCATCAATAAGTAATCTTAGAGAACATTACACTGATACCACTAGATTTATGTTGAGATAAATGCATTTAAAATTGAAGAGACATGTGTTATTAATTATAGTGTGAAGTTTGAACAGATTCTGCTATATGTGATTTACATCTCATTCCAAGATTTAAAAAGTCCAAATCTTTTTTCATAATATATAAAATATTGTAAGGTAAGAAATTAAAGAGCAACTTAGATCTCCCATCATACAAGAGATATGTGAATTCACCCTATGATGCAATCTCTTTTACCAAAGTCATTAATAAAAGAGATATGATCCAATAAAAGTAAAAAAATTGTACCAAATCTTAAGAATGCATAAATAAGTCACTTACATGTTTACTACCATCAAGGCAGTGAATTCGATTGGTTAACTGAGTTAAAGGTTTTCGGAAAGGAGATAAATAACATTCCTGGATATCAGCCTTAGTGTTATGTTTTTGCCTCTTTGGAGTCTAGAATAGATCAGACAAATTGCATCAAGATTTGGCTGCCTGCAATGAAGCATAACACTTGAGAATCTACCCATGAACTTTTGCTTTTTAGCAATATGTAAAACATGGCAACAAACAACTGCAACATCAAATGATTATTATTACTACTACTACTTATTGGAACTTCATAAGCACTGTAAAGAGAACCATAAAAATCTAGTTGTAAAACTTCTTTGCTCACAGAACAGCCCATATCAGAATTTATATCTAATTGCTTCATGGTCAGATCTGAGTAGATTCGACGTATCACTCATCCATAGAGTAGATCTAATTTCACAGGGAGGACTATTAACATTTAGAGAGTTCAGTAAAAGGAAAGGATAAGACTACTGATTAAAGAGTCAAATCTAGTCAGCACCACCCTAACAACTTTACATTGGCCCCTTTCAATGCCCTGACAAAAGAGAAGCAGCATTTAAATGAAGTAATTAAGAAAGGATACTTACTGCTTCAGGATACCAGTCCTCATCTTCTCCAGAGCCATCACCTCCAGGTTTTCTCTTGGCCAGCTGACTGGGAGCTAAACTTCTCCTCTACAAACAGAAACAATTAAACCTGTTTATTCCGTAGAATACATTGTCCTTAATTCAGAAACATATGAATACATTTATGAAGTAATTGGGCTATACCTCTTAGAGCACACTTATTATTATCTAACAATATCAGTCTAGCAATGAGCAGCAGATGGCAGCCATAGCTCATAGGGTCTCTGTGCATTATGCATCAATTGCAATTGTTTCTGAATTGGAAGCTCACAATCACTTATATGTCTTAAGACACCTCTGGATGGATTTTTGCACTGCACTGTACATGGGGTTGCCCTTGAACACTACCCAGAAACTGCTGCTGTCCAAAGCCCAACCACACAGATAATGGGCACACCTCACTATGCCCATCTATCATAACTCTTTTGTGAGCTGTATAGGCTCCCAATAGGCTCCTGGGTGCAATTCAAGGTGCTGTTAGTCACCTGTAAAGCCCTACATGGCGGAGGAGCAGGGTACTTGTGGGACTGACTCTCCCAGTCATCTCTGCTACCCAGGAGGTGGCACAGCGTGGGTAAGCTCCAGCTTTTCCTCTTTCAAACAATTCCACCTAATGGGATCCAGGAGGCATGCCTTGTCAGTAATTGCATCTGTCCTTTGGAAGAAATTCCCCCTCTGGGTTCAGATGCTAACACCCTCCTGGCCTTCCTCAGAGCCCTAAAGTCCTGGTTCTCCTAGGCACCAGGTGAAGATAGAGGATCTGTAATGTACCTACAGGATTTTAACTTCAGCCTCAATTGCGTTTTGGTTTTTTTGGGTTTTTTTTAGGGGGGTGGGGGGGTTAGTGGTTCATTAATTATTTTTTCTCTTTGTACACTGCCTAAAATCACAAATTCTGAGAGGGATGGCTTTAGAAAGTTTTAATAAATAAATAAATAATAAATCTTGGGAGCGCCTTTCCCTGGGACACCCACCCCCCCCCCCCCCGCTTACCATATTCTCCCTGGAGAGCTATGTCCCATCTGCGCACAGCTTTAGGGACAGCGAAAGAAGACGGGTTGCACCGGCGGTATTTAGAGTCCCAGGAAAGAAAATTCGTTCAGGGAAAGCGAGAAGGAAAACAACCCCCAGTAGCCCCGGGGGCAGAGAGAAATGCTCCAGAGAAATCACAAAGCTTTGCGAAACAACTCTGGAAGGAGAAGGAACTGCTGACAGCAGCTCCTTAAGCTACAACGGAGAGGTCCGACCACGGCGATTAAAAAGCGGAGCGTCGGGCAACAGCTCTCCGGCAAAAAGGAGGCGGACGGTAGACCACGAAGAAGATCCCGGAAAGTCTCCCAGCAACCGGGCTCGAGAAGAGAGCCAGCAACCGAAGGCGCCGGCTCCTCTTTTTTCCTTGTTGGATTTGCCGCGCAAAGGGACCCGGCTTTTGCCCCGCCCCTCAGCTGAACCGAGGCACGGCCGATCGCTCGCCGATCAGACAGCTTGCATCGATCAGCTCTAGGTTCCTTCCAGGCGGAGAAGATCAGCCCTTTTAAACTGGTCCCAAGCGTGGAAAAAGGAAGGAAGGGAGCAAGCTAGCGAGTTTACCAGAAACGTCCGAACTCTGAAAACTTGGCAACTTTGTAAATACTGGGAAAGACTGAGAGTTGAAGTCACGCATGTTAAAATTGCCAAGTTCGAAAACATTGGTTTAGATTGTGCAGGACTGAAAGGCTGGAGAGGCACCTCATTTAGGAACTCGTGGGCTGATCATACTGTAATGATCTTCTGTAAAGTTATCGTGAGACTAATGCAATAAAAATCATATTTGAATTGGGATGGGATGGGAATATTTCAATTTGTCTAGTATTGGAGAGTATAGCCGGTTTGGCACAGTGGTTAAGGCACTGGGCTAGAAACGGATACTGTGAGTTCTAGTCTCACCATAGATTCGAAGGGATTTGGTCACGGACCAGCCCATTGCCCTAGGACAGGGATAGGCTCAGGAATTCTGGGAGTTGAAGTCCACGAGAGTCATAAAAGAGTCAAGATTGCTTACCCCTGCCCTAGGAAGCAGGCAGTGGCAAACCATTTCTGAAATCTTGCAGAGAAAACTGCAGGGATTTGTCCAGGTAATCGCCAGCAGTCAAAACCTGACTCGAAGCACCACTATCTCCATTATTATTTATACTAACACTGGAAGTATTGAATAGAAACATCAGACAAGATATAGAAATTAAAGGACTGGAGATAAAAGATGAAAAATACAAAGTACAAGCATTTGCAGATGATTTGGCTTTTATATTGGAAGATCCGCTTGAAACAAGGACTAAACTTATGAAGAAAATAGAAAAATTTGGAGAAGTGGCAGGGTTGAAAATAAACAGAGAAAAGACTATAAAGTGCTAACAAAAAATTTAACAGAAAAGCAAAACAAACAAACAAAAAAACAACTAGCAAAAAAACCAAATCTTCAAATAGTTAAAAAAGTTAAATACTGGGAATTTATCTAACAGCAAGATGTGTAACAATAAAAGAAGATAATTACGTAAGATTGCTAAAACAAAAAAAATTGGACCTGGAAAAATGGGGAAACTTACATCTTTCAATGCTGGGGAGAATAGCAAGAATGAAAATGAATATCTTACCAAAAATACTCTTTCTATTTCAAATGATTCTTGTAAGACTGGGAAAAGCCTTTTTTGATGAACTGAATACAAAAATACTGAAATTTATCTAGCAAGGGGAAAAAGCTAGAATTAGACTGAAAATGCTACAAGAAGCGAAAGAAAGTGGAGGATTTGGACTGCCAGACTGGATCTTATACTACAAGCAACTATTTTAACGTGGCTTAAAGAATGGATAATGCTTAGAGACAAAAGACTATTATATCTAGAGGGACATGACCTACAAATTGGTTGGCATGCCTTTCTGTGGTATGGGAAGAATAAAATACATAGATATTTTCAAAACCACTTTATAAGAAATTCACTTCTTTTAAAATGGGGAATAATAAAAATGAAAATTTATAGCAAGATACCTGGATGGCTTTCAACAGTGGAAGCATTTGCTTACCCAAATTTATTTGATTACGATAAAGTTGTGACCTATAAAGATATCTTGAAAAATGAAGGAAAATTGAAAGACAGGTAAGATTTACAAGAACAAAGAACTGATCTATCATGGTGGCCATATTTGCAAATCCAAACGAGATATGAAAAAGATGTTAAAACATTGGGATTTTATAAAAAACAGACAGAACTTGACCAGATACTGTTAAAAACAGATGAAAAGTTTATTAAGAAACTACAAATATCTGTTAAGCTTAAAGACGAAGGAAGAACAAGTAAAACAAACAATGATAATGGGCAAAGAACTTTGGATATAATATAGAATTAGAAAACTGGCAAAAGTTATGGGAAAGAAATATTAAATTAACGAAAGCAGTAGCATATATAGAAAACTTATATAAAATGTTTTACAGATGGCACATGACACCAGTGAGATTAGCAAATATGTTTAAAAATACTTCAAACAGGTGTTGGAAATGCAAACAAAGACCAGGTACTTATTACCATACCTGGTGGACATGCCTTAAAGCAAAAAGATTTTGGTTAAAAATACATTTATGGTTGGAGAAAATGACTAAAAAAGAGACTTTAAGCCAGAATTATTTTTGTTAGGAATAATAGGAGCAAATTATGAGAAAGACTGTATATATTTAACTCCATATGTACTAACTGCAGCAAGAATTATATTTGCCCAACATTGGAAAAATGAAAATTTACCATGAAGAATTAATTTAAAAATTTTTAGAATGCGCAGAAATGGACAGATTGACTTTAAAGATAAAAGAGAAAGAAGACTCAGTGTATTTTAGAACATGGGATAATTTTTATCAATGGCTAGAAAAGCGAGTTAGAGAGGAAAGAATGTGATATATAACTTTGAATATATATTAGCAAGAAGATGACCATCGAGCAATTAATTAAAGTATTGTTTATGATAACATTGTTTATGATAACTACTACTCATTTTTTAAAAAATACATGAACCCAGACATTATGCTATTCCAGACATCAGATGCCCTTGAGATTCAGTACATGATTAGGAATCTTAAAAGCAAAATGTAAAAAACTGTAATAGAAAAAAAAAAGTGGTGGCAATTTGCAGTCTCTATGTTCCTTTTAGTGGTGAGCTGACAGGATCCTAAAAGAAGGAAACTCTCAAGCTTTCAACACATTGAAAATGCTTCACTAGTGAATTCCATGTTTTATAGGCTATCTTCTCCAACATGTGCAATATCGGTGATCTCCCAAAAGGACCAATTGTACTTTATTAAAAAGATGATAACAGGCTATAAGGTATCAAAAAGCATAATGTAGTACAGTAATGAAAGAATTAGTAGGGAAACAGGGTTCTGTTTACAGGCTTATTGTAGCAGTTTTATTACTAGCTTTTTTGTGGTTGGCTTTCTTTGGATACTGTTACAATTTTGCATAACCAAATGTTAGCCCTTAGGTGTTTGAAGGGGAAAATGAGGTAAAATAACAATATAAATACAAATACTTGGGGAAACAACTTACACCAAATAATAAAGATATGACTTAGCTGGGAAAAATCAGTATGGCTTCTACAAAAGAAAATATTTTCAGTAATTGCCTCTTCCCCTCCAAAAAATCCCTTTCAAGTCAGCGTTGACTCCTGGCAAATGCTTGCAATTTTCTTGGCAAGATTTCAGAAGCAGTTTGCCATTGCCAGCTTCTAGAGCAGTGGTTCTCAACCTTTTTAGTGCCACGACCCCCAACCGGTCGTAAGTTGAGGACTACTCAACCGGTCGTAAGTCGAGGACTACTCAACTGGTGCAGCACCGTTTGCATAATGGGACTTTTGGTGGGCTCAGCAGGGCAGAGACAGCCTGGACAATTCCTATTGGCTTTTGAAAGCCAATAGAATTAGACTCTATTCAAGAGAGTCTATTCTATTGGCTTTCAAAAGCCAATAGAATAAAGGGAGTAGCACAGCTAAGGAAAAGGGGGAAAAAATGGCGGACTGCGTTGTTTGGTGACCCCTGTGAAATGGTCGTTCGACCCCAAATGGGGTCCCGACCCACAGGTTGAGAACCACTGTTCTAGAGAGAGTCACTGACCCCAGGTCACTAGCTGGTTTTGTGCCTAAGCTGGAACTAGAACTCCTGACCTCTCAGTTTCTAGCCTGGTGCCTTAACCACTACTGTACACCAGACTGGCTCCCAACAAAGAACTAAAAAGCTTCTGACCAAAGCCTGTTTTTTTTTGTATTGAAGGCAGGACATGGAGGATAACAGGAGTGTAAATCAATATTTCAAAAGTATTCATCTAAGCATTGGTTATAGTCTTCCTACAAATCTTTTCTCTCAACCTGAGAAGACTGGTTGGCCTCCAGATACTAACACACCAAACACTGACAAGGATTAATACCTTCTTTTTCATTTAGATATTCCTGCCTTGTAATGAATGTGGGAAAATCCACTTCAAGAGGTTGTGACACTGCAAGGGTTAAAGGAAAATCATCTGATCTGTCTATGAAGGTAATAGGTGGGGAAAGAAAGGAAACAAAATACAAAAGAGCTAAAAAGGGTGGGTTTCCTTTCTTAGGTGGGTATTTATAAGAGGAGAGGACTCCATCTTGTCTTTCTCTTTTGGGGTATATTTTTCTCCTCAGAGGCTGACTGAAAATCAGGTAAGGGCAAAGCTAGCAGCATCTGCCCTAGAATCTAATAAATTGGAACAAATTAGAATAGATGAAGCTATACACTATATACTACACAATAACCTCTATTCAATTAACTGGATTGAGATCAGAGCTACAGTATGTGAATTTGTTCTGGTTTCTGTGAGATTCTGAGTGAAGGGAGCAAATGACAGAGATTAGACTTTTCAAAAAACCATTGTTTATTTGTTCTCTCCTTTTTTCTTCCTGACTTTCTTTTACATGCCTAACTTTATCTCATAAAATTTTTAGAATTCTTAATCAGTGATGCTCATTGCAGGAAGAGGGATCTATTGTTTCATTTATCAGCCAACCATCTTACATTTTTCTCATTACCCTCAAACTGTGATCCAAATGGTTTTCAATCCTTATTTCTTAACACTTTTTCCAGAATTTGTTTTTGAAACTCCTGTCCGTAAACAATAAAGTAATAAAATATAAATAAATACACACATGTATTTATTTTACATCATGAATTTTTAGTTTCCTAGTTACAGGTTTTTAGTATCAATATCTGAGAATCATTGCCCATAAAATTGATAAATGACTCCTTCAAAGTCAAAAGCATATTTTGTTCTCCTTCCAGCATGTTTGCAAAATCTATTTAATTAAAGTAAATCCACAGACTTAAGATATGACTGAGCATTGCATTTGAC